TGTTTCTATTTTTCTGTCCATGTATTATTCTTACTACTGGTTAGTTTATTGTCTAACTGCCTCTTCACTTTATAAATTGACTAGGTGTTCACAAAAACTGTTGTTAAAAGTGACAAATTCAAGACTGGACAAGATGAATATGTCGAGAAGAAGGATCTAGATGTCAAAAAGCAGGACATTCTAATTGGTAGTATACCTGTCATGGTGAAATCTATCCTTTGCAAAACTAGCGAGAAAGGAAAGGAAAACTGCAAAAAGGGGGATTGTGCCTTTGATCAGGGTGGATATTTTGTTATAAAGGGGGCTGAGAAGGTGAGTTACACCAGTTTCGGATCATTTTGCATATTCACTTTCACGGGATTTCTATTTTGAACTATCTTAGTGCACAGATTAGTGAAAGTTTAGTTTTTTTTTTTTTTTTTCGAATGTATACTGTCTAACGAGATTATATTGTGTTATTTGCAGGTGTTTATAGCTCAAGAACAGATGTGCACAAAGAGACTGTGGATTTCCAATTCACCAATTCACCATGGACAGTCTCCTTCAGGTCTGAAAATAAAAGGAATAGATTCATTGTGCGCCTGGCGGAGAATCAGAAATTAGAAGAGTATAGGAGAAGGGAGAAAGTACTAACAGTGTACTTCTTGTCGACTGAGATTCCAGTCTGGGTCCTCTTCTTTGCGCTGGGTGTTTCATCAGATAAAGAAGCCATGGATCTAATTGCTTTTGATGGAGATGATGCAAGCATTACCAATAGTCTCATAGCTTCTATCCATGAAGCTGATGCAGTCAAAGAAGGTTTTCGCCATGGGAATAATGCTCTAGCATTTGTTGAAAAGCAGATTAAAGACACCAAATTCCCTCCTGCTGAAAGTGTGGATGACATCCTCCGCCTGTATTTGTTTCCAGGCCTCCAGAGTTTGAAGAAAAAAGCCCGATTCCTTGGCTATATGGTGAAGTGTCTTCTGAGTGCATATGCTGGGAAAAGAAAATGTGAAAATAGGGACAGTTTCAGGAACAAGCGAATGGAACTTGCTGGAGAACTGTTGGAAAGGGAGATAAGAGTGCATCTGGCACATGCTAGAAGAAACATGACCAAGGCCATGCAGAAACACCTTGCAGGCGAGGGTGTTTTGAAGCCTATTGAGCATTATTTGGATGCATCCATAATCACAAATGGGCTTAATAGAGCCTTCTCCACTGGACAATGGTCTCACCCTTTCAGGAAGATGGAAAGGGTTTCAGGTGTTGTAGCTAACCTGGGTCGCGCAAATCCATTGCAAACTCTGATTGATCTGAGGAGAACCCGGCAGCAAGTTCTTTATACTGGCAAGGTTGGAGACGCCAGATATCCGTAAGTGAAAATTTCCACCTCCCCTATTTATTGAAATATATTCCACATACTTTAACTAAGCTGTTTGGTTTGCATTTACTCAGTTTTACATGTCTTTAGAATGTTTTTAAGATATTCGTGCTAACTTATTCAATCTAGTATATGATGGTGACCACTGTTTCTGCAGAGTCCCATCTGTGTATAATACTGATCCTGTATAGATGATACTGCTATTAAGAAAATCGGATACTGTGTTCTTGTTTATTTGTTCCTTAGCCAATTTATCTGTTGAATTTTTCCTGGTGTTGGCATTGTGATGATCCAATTTGGTTACTTTTCAATGTGAGCGGTTACACAGTTAAATTGTGTTGAAAACTGAACTCTGGCTGCATTGTTTTGTAATGTTGGCCACAGGCATCCCTCTCACTGGGGCAGAGTATGCTTTTTGTCAACTCCAGATGGTGAAAATTGTGGTCTTGTGAAGAACATGTCTCTTCTAGGACTTGTTAGCACTCAAATTTTGGAGCCTGTGATGGAAAAGTTCTTAGATTGTGGAATGGAAGAGCTGATGGATGATACTAGCACACCATTGTGTGGCAAACAGAAAGTTCTTCTCAATGGAGATTGGGTAGGATTATGTTCAAATCCTAAATCCTTTGTGGCGGAGTTAAAAAGTGTGCGGCGCCAAAATGATTTACTTCGTCAGGTATCTTCTGTTCCAGCAAATCTCTTGCGTGATTTCTATATTCTTGTGTTGCTTGGTATTTGCTTTGGATTTTTCTATATGAGAATTTTATCTGTGTCGTATATCATTTATATATATATGTATCACAACTTTCTTTGCAGATGGAAATCAAGCGAGATAAAGATGACAATGAGGTGAGAATCTTCACTGATGCTGGTAGACTACTCCGACCTCTCTTGGTTGTGAAAAATCTCCACAAGTTGAAGCAAGACAAACCAACACAGTATCCTTTTGAGCATCTTCTTGACCAAGGGATCCTCGAACTGATTGGGATTGAGGAAGAAGAAGACTGTAATACAGCATGGGGAATCCCTTATCTTCTGAAGGAACCAAATAATTACACGCATTGCGAACTGGACCTCTCATTCTTGTTGGGTGTGAGCTGTGCAATTGTCCCATTTGCAAATCACGATCATGGGAGAAGAGTTCTCTACCAGTCCCAGAAGCATTGCCAACAAGCCATTGGGTTCTCATCAACAAACCCTAACATTCGCTGCGATACTCTGTCCCAGCAACTATTCTATCCCCAGAAGCCACTTTTCAAGACATTGGCGTCGGAGTGTCTTAAAAAAGAAGTGCTGTTTAATGGCCAGAACGCAATTGTTGCTGTGAATGTTCATCTCGGGTACAACCAAGAGGATTCCATTGTGATGAACAAGGCTTCACTGGAACGTGGTATGTTCCGTTCAGAGCAGATTAGAAGCTACAAGTCAGAGGTTGATAGCAAAGACTCGGAGAAGAGGAAGAAGATGGATGAGCTTGTTCAGTTTGGAAAGATACACAGCAAAATCGGCAGAGTAGACAGCCTTGATGATGACGGGTTCCCTTACATTGGTGCTAACTTGAGTACTGGCGATATTGTCATTGGCAGATGCACCGAGTCTGGGGCTGATCACAGTGTAAAGCTCAAGCACACTGAGAAAGGATTTGTGCAAAAAGTGGTATTATCATCCAATGACGATGGGAAGAATTTTGCTGCAGTTTCTCTGAGACAGGTAAGTTCTAGATCATACTGAATCGAGCTGTCTTTCAGAGAATGCATTCCTATGATGACTCGAATGTATCATTGATTGGCTTTGACGTCTTGCAGGTTCGTTCTCCATGCCTTGGAGATAAGTTTTCCAGTATGCATGGCCAGAAGGGTGTGTTAGGCTATATAGAGGAACAGCAGAATTTTCCTTTCACTATCCAAGGCATAGTTCCTGATATTGTGATAAACCCGCACGCTTTCCCTTCTAGGCAAACACCGGGTCAACTCTTGGAGGCTGCTCTCTCCAAAGGAATAGCGTGTCCTATACAAAAGAAGGAGGGTAGCTCTGCAGCATACACCAAAGTGACTCGTCATGCCACTCCTTTCTCCACTCCGAGTATCTCTGAAATCACAGAGCAGCTTCACAGGTACGTTCTTCACTCTTTGACTTTAGGTTTTAGCTTGTAAAACGGAATATTAGATGATATCATTTAGGGCAGGAACTAGTTATTAATTATATTGCCTGGTTGAAGATGTTTGAACATGGGGACTTTGGCTACAGTATTTCCAAAAGTTGACATGATATGCACAATACAAGCAAATTGGGCTAATATACTGCACAAGGCACTAAACTAGATTTGAGCACCTTACTTGAAACATGTCATCGTGGATCTTTGTTTTGTTTCCTAGGAGTACTAGAAATGAGCATGACTTATATGACGGGAAAATATCTATGTCAGAGTAAAAAGCTAAGAAGTTCGATGTTCTCTGGTTGATTAATTTTTCCCATTGCGCCTGATAAACGTGAAGAGAATACACAAAAATGGGCTCCATGTACCAGTATAATTAGTTAGAGAACTGATGTTGTGAGCCTTATGATTATGTGTTTAATTTATTGAACATTTCTTAGATTATTGTTGATTGTTGAGTCTTGATTCATTACCAATGGTAAAATATTTGTGGTTAGGGCTGGATTTTCAAGATGGGGAAACGAAAGGGTCTACAACGGTAGATCAGGGGAGATGATGCGATCTCTGATATTCATGGGCCCAACTTTCTATCAGCGACTTGTCCACATGTCAGAGGACAAAGTGAAATTCAGAAACACTGGACCAGTCCACCCGCTCACACGGCAGCCAGTGGCAGACAGGAAGAGGTTTGGTGGGATAAAGTTTGGAGAAATGGAGCGAGACTGCCTAATAGCTCACGGTGCATCTGCTAATCTGCACGAGCGTCTCTTCACCCTCAGTGACTCTTCTCAGATGCACATCTGCAGGAAATGTAAGACCTATGCGAATGTGATCGAGAGGACTCCAAGCAGTGGAAGAAAGATCAGAGGGCCATATTGTAGAGTCTGCGAATCCCCAGACCATGTGGTAAGGGTTTATGTTCCTTATGGAGCTAAGCTTCTGTGTCAGGAGCTGTTCAGCATGGGAATCACTCTCAACTTCGACACCAAGCTCTGCTGATTCCTGTCTTTATAATTATGTCTATATTTATCGGGTATATATATGGCTCAGTAGTGCCTTTTAAGACCATGTTATGTTATGTGTAGCTCCGGTTCTGGTTATTTGGTTATGGTTGATTCGGTAAGGGTTATCCGAAATCGAAGAAATCGTAAAAGCCAAGCCACTGAACTAACCCGTAGAGCGTAGTGTTGCGTTTGTGAGATTTGACTCTTTAACCGTTAATGGTAATGGTGTCTTAAAAAATCGCTTCTTTTGTCCACGCGAACCTGTTTATGAAAATATAATCCGGTTTCCTTTTATGTTTGGTTGCTTATTATTACAATAATAATTAAAATTTCGAGTTTAATGCGAAGGTGTCCAATTTGATCCGACCTAATCACTGTCGGATCCGACCCGGCCCGACCCGACCGAGCTGCTTGGTCTGATGCCGCCATGTTAAATTGTTCGGACCCGTAACATAAATAAACCTTGAATGAAACCTTTCGTCTTCTTCTTCTCCCAGAGGCATAAACCTTTTCTCTCGGAGCCGTTTCGTGCATTCTTCGATTTCACTGTCTTTTCTCTATCTGTAACGCGATGAACCGGAACAGCCTTTACGAGGCTTACGGCGATGATGACGATGACGATGAAGACGACATCGGTGAAGAACTCGAAGAGTTAAGACAGGCCTGTATGGTCGCCGGCGCCAATTCCAATGAATTCTCCGCTAAAACCAATTCTATTGAAGCGGATGGAGGCGGTGGCGGAGAGATGCCGTCGGATTCGGAGGACGAGGACGATTTGATGCTTCGTACCATTAGCAGCCAATTGGCACCGTCCAAGGATGCGGATTTGAGCGGTGGTCCTCCCATTGGTTTATCATTGCCCTCTGATTCGGACAGTGAAGACGATTTCGAGATGATACGTAACATTACGAGCCAACTAGCTTTGCCCATGGATGTTCCCCTTCCTCGCATTGGTTTATCAGACGATGACGATGAAGATGAAGACTTTGAAACTATTCGAGTTATTCGTAGGCGATTCTCTGCTTATGGTGAGCTCAATTTTGAAATTCCCTTTACTTGTTGCTTTTGTATTTGGGTTAGCTACTGATTCGTTAGATATTGTTTCTTTGTTACTTCTGGAATGTTCCTTCTATGGTTATCTGAAGACTCTGCTTCAAGTGGTTAAGATAGTTTTACAGAGGGTAAGATTATTTTGGTTCTCTTCGGTTTCACTACTAGTGGAAGCTAGTTTTATGATTCTATATAGAAGCTATACACTCAGTGTGAAAGGAAAGCTGCCCAACTTTTCAATCTTTTCTTTTGGGGTTTAACTGTCTGTTTATGCTTCTTTATATTGTCCCTCATGGAATAAGTTTGAAGCTTTCTCGTCTTACGTTTGATTGTTGATATGATGAATTCATGATGCTAGAATGTGGGCTTGCTTTTTTTTTTCTCGTTTTCAAATCCAGTATTTTATGTCGAAAATATGCTTATGCCTTAGTGGTGATTTCTTACTATTTCTCTGCAGATTCAGAAGCAAATTTCGGGAATGATTCTCTCGGGAAGAAAAAGCAGGTACATGACTTGGACAATGAACCTTCACGCGAAATATTGAGTAGATCTAATACTTGTGAAAGCTTTCCAGATCACGGGAAATCAGTGGTCACAGTGCCAGATTCAGAGGATGTACGAGATGGCCATTCTGTTGATGTACATGACATTACTTCCACTGAGCCTCTTGACCACCTGGACACAAGCCAGTTATCTCTTATGCCAGCTGCGAGTTCAACTTTCCCTGAAGCTGCACAAGCCTTTGTTGATGCAATCAGGAAGAACAGGGCATATCAGAAATTTCTTAGAAGAAAATTGGAAGTAATAGAAGCCACAATCGAGCAGAACGAGAAACACAGGAAAAATGTTAAAATAGTTAAAGATTTTCAAGCTTCTTGCAAGAGAAGAACTAAACTGGCACTTTCTCAGAGGAAAGATCCTCGTGTCGAATTAATCTCAGCACGCAAATGTGTGCCTTGTGATAGCTCCGAGGTAATACTTTGATTTGTTTTCCTGCCACTGCTGTTGTTTTGTAGTCCTCGTCTCTTTTTTGTTGACCCTGATGGAAAATGTTTATTATCCTAAATTCTGTTCTTTTTGTAGGGTAATGATAAAAAGACATCTCCTTTGATGTTGGGTCCGCCGGAAAATCCTTTTGTTGCAAAGTATAGGATGGCATTAGAGAAATATCCAGTTTCAGTGGAACGCAGAAATTGGTCTACTGAGGAGAACAAAAACCTTGCAAAAGGGCTAAAACAAGAAGTTCAAAAGATACTACTTTATGAAGCTATTGAACAGTCCAGGTACTACTTGTTCATCCTGTTAGAAAGTGGTATCAAATTCTGGTGCCTAGTACCCTTAAATCTATTGCTTAGATCTTTTCAGATTAAAGTTTTTTTCGTTTTAATTTTTCCCGAAAGAGTTGACTGACGGCAATTTCTTAACAGGGATTTGGAAGATTCTACATATGATATAGACACCATCAATGAATCAATCAGAAATCTTGAGATAACACCAGAAATGATTAGGCAGTTTCTTCCAAAAATTAATTGGGATTCGTTGGATATCAAGGACCGGTCTGCTGCAGAATGTGAAGCTCGGTAAGTTAACACTGGTTTCGAAGATAAATCTGCTTTTAGTCATCTATGGGTGTTCATTTCATAGACCCATCACTCTGTCTCTCATTTTGAGATTTCAGTGGATTTTTTAACTTGTGCCTCATTGTAGGTGGATGAGCTCGGAAGATCCATTAATTAACCACGGTCCGTGGACTGAAGCAGAGGACAAAAACCTACCCCGAATTATCGAAGAAAAGGGTCTAACAGACTGGGTTGAAATTGCGGTATCACTAGGGACAAATAGGACCCCATTTCAATGTTTGGCTCGATATCAGAGAAGCTTGAATCCAAGCATATTGAGAAAAGAATGGACTCCTGAGGAAGATGACCAACTTCGTGCTGCAGTAGAGTTATTTGGCGATAAAGACTGGCAATCTGTTGCAAATGTATTAAAAGGAAGAGCTGGAACTCAGTGCTCAAACAGGTCAGTTTTATTTTTTACATTCACCCATATCTTTTGAGTTAGCCTCGTCTCTTTCTGGCCATCTACTAAATTATATGAATTTAATTTATTTTAGTCCGATTTATCGTCTCAATAGCTAGTTTGTTTGGGGAAAAGTCTATAGGTTTATAAACCACCAATGAAGTCCATGTTTAGTCGACGTGGGATTAACCTCAGTACACTCATTGTTGATATTTTTGTAGGCTTTTAGAATGTATAACAAAGTTATTTTCTGTCAATTTTTTTTTTTTTTTTTTATGTTTGTTTATGCTGCATTTAGATGCATGATTAAATGGCTTATCTTATTTCCGTCCTTTCTATATTCTCAGATGGAAAAAGTCCCTTCGCCCTACGAGAAAAGGGAGATGGAGCTTAGAGGAAGACAAACGTGTGAAAGTAGCTGTGACACTCTTTGGATCTCAAAACTGGCATAAGATTTCTCAGTTTGTTCCTGGACGGACTGCGACTCAGTGTCGAGAGAGATGGGTAAATTGTTTAGAGCCCAAAGTAAATCGTGGGAAGTGGACTGAGGAAGAGGATGAAAAGTTGAAAGAAGCGATTGGAAAACATGGATATAGCTGGTCCAAGGTAGCTTCACATTTGGCTTGTCGTACTGACAATCAGTGCTTGAGGAGATGGAAGACTTTATATCCTCATCAAGTGGTTCTTTTGCAACAAGCTAGAAGGTTACGAAAAGAAGCTATTGTAGGTAATTTTGTTGACAGGGAATCAGAGCGTCCTGCTCTTGTCACAGGCGCTATTTTGGCATTACCGGAGATATCTCTAGAGCCAGATCCCGATAGTGTAGCCCTGAAGAATAAACGCAAAGCCAAGTAAGTTAATAGATTATTCCTTACACACACAGAGAGACATCTTTTGTGAATCTAAACTCACCTTCTTGTTGATGCAGACAGAGAAAGTCAGATGCAGAGAGACAACCAAAGAGACGGAGAAAAGGATTAGAGAAATGCTCAGGAGATGTAATTAGACAAGAGAATGCGACTGTTTGTGAAAAGGAACCAAACAATGGAGGAGAGGAGAAGTCATTGGAATTGGAAAGGTATAACGAGATCCAAGACAATGCAAAGGAGAAACAAAGACGAAGTCGCAAACGTGTTGCAGAAACACCGAACAACACCACTGGTTTAAGGAAACTTACGCCTAGGAGGAAGAAAGTGTCTGCAGTAGTTCCTATCAAGAACCAAGACGCACTAAATTAGGTGTTTCTTTTGCTCTTGAAAATTTTGACAATTGTTGTATGTATAAATATGTCTAATCCAAGCATCTTTTCACTGATCCAACAACAAGTTAAACATCTTGAACTCAACAATACATAAGTTGAACCTAGGCATTTTTGGAAACAGTAATAGAGTACATCTACATTTTTATTGAAACGGTAAGAAAATTGTTAGATGTAATACTCTTTTCTTCATTTATTAATCCTATTGACCATTATTACATGAGAACACTTGTTTCTAATTAGTATCCACAAAAAGAAACATCAAAACTGTATACAATAATCACTAATGAGTTGATGTAAAAGGAGAGTACAATAATATCATGACGTCACTTACTTCTGACGAACTTCCTTCGAGTGTTAACACTAATCACTTCATTTCCCTTATTCTTCTTCTTCATCTTCTCTAACTTCTGTCTATGTCCTTCTATATCTCTCTTTATCACTCGTTCTCTCATTTCGTCTGGTAGCAATGCCAGTCTTGAAAACTTCTTTGGTGACACAAACCCTCCAAGTCTCTCTTTGATGTGGTTAAACGCAGGAACAAGTCCACGTCTTATGAAACACCCGTCGATCAGGTCCATCGAGTTTGATTCTGGTAACAACACCGAGTCTTTTAGCTCCAAGTCGAAGCAGAATGGTGAGTCCTTCAACCACATTCTCAGAGAGTGAGCTTTGGCCACTAGAAGTCCGGTTCTCGTCTTGCAGGGAAGAAATGGAGAACCCATCTCCCAGAGACATGCCTTTAGCGTTTTGTCCAGGGATATACCGTTGTATTCTGCGGTCCCTGTGATTAAGACAACTGACTTTGGAGACTCCGGGTACCCTTCAAGTGATGCATCCTGAAAATGGTAGAAAACTTGTAGCAGAGGTTGAGGATTATTGGTGAATATGAGAATGATTGTCATACAATCTTCAGTTATGAAGGGATTTGTGGAACATGATGCGAATATACAGAGACATTAAAAGAGAAGAAAGAGATGAATTGCCTGCATGTGGTCAAGCCATAGAGTCAGGGCAACAAGTGCTGCACCTCCCGACAATCTTCTAAAATCAGCACCCCAGTCTTTGTCCGCCACCCTGACAAATCAAAGTCAATCGCAAATGTGACTGCTAATTACTCTACAATTTGGAAACGTTTTCACGAGAAACAAGTGTTGACTAGTTCATGGGAGCACCATCTGTGACATATGTTTAGACGACTGACCTAAAAACATCGCGACTGAAGATATCCCTTTTGATTGCCAATTGGAATACCCATGAAGCAGTAGCTCTGAGTTCAAATGCCCATAGAAGATTTAAAAGAGCATTGGCAAAATTGAGAGCAGCATTGTCCTCAATGGGTTTCAGTTTCTCGAACCATCCATCCACCTCAGGCACTAACAACTCAGCTCTTCCAGCTAAAAGCCTTGTAGGTATCATCAAAAACCACACAAAGAAACATAATTATTAGTACTATATCAAATCTTGTATCAAATTTACAATTTATTAATTACAAAACCATAAACATGACTAACAGACCAATCTTTTTTGAGGAATGCATCAGATCATCCATACCTGATAGGAAGATCAAAACCAATATCTTGAAGAGCTTTCAACAGCAATATGACTTCACTTTTTTCCTTGGAGAAACTCGCTGCCCTAACAAAGCAAGTCCATATCCTGTGGTCTGGTTCCAGGCCCTCTTTTTTCATTTCCAAAAGCCTTTCTATTCCACTATTATAATCTCTGCTCCGAAGGTAAGCATCAATAACTGAGCTATAAGGCAGAGTTGTTAGTTCCACGTCTGTTTCTTTCAGGTTACTAAGAACTTTTTCAGCTTCTTGGGGCTTTCCTGAAGAACTATATGAAACCATAAGCAAATGCATTGTAGCAAGTGTTGGTTCTATTCCCGCATTCTTCATCATTTGCAACAATTTCTCTGCCTTAAACTCACTTCCAGAATCTCGGGATATTTTCATCATCGTGTGGTAAAATGAACGGTCTAGTTTATAACCTTTGGAGAGAAGCTCGTCAAACAGTTGTTCAGCTTGTTCAAGGCATTTTTGCTTGCCAAAGGCAGAGATTAAGCTCTTGTATGTGTCCAGTTTTGGGTCCAGACCAATATTTCTCATTTTCTGCATAAGCAAGTACCCTTCTTCTGGTCGTCTGTCTCTACAATACATTATAATCAGAGTATTGTAAGTGGTCTCATCTGGTTCCAGTCCGGTTTCTTTTATCCTCTGATATACTTGAACTGTCTTCTTGTAATCATCGATAGCAGTATACATCTTCAGCATGGAATTCCATATAGCGAGCTCAACCTTGAAATTGGCCTCTTCCATTTCAGAGACCATAATTTCAGCATCTCTAACTCGTTTCCCTTTGCAGAGAAGCTCAATCATCATCCTATAAAGGCGAATCGTGGGTAAGTAACCAGCAGCTTTCATGCTACTGTATATCTTCTTTACCTCAAAGATATTTCCAGCCCGGGCAAATGCGTCAAGCATCAAAAGAATGGAGCTTTTACTAATCTTAAAGCCCATATCTTGCAATTCTTCAACAACAACGTAGAGCTCTTCAAGTCTTCCATCAACACACAAAGCATGCAACAAGATATTGATGGATTCAACAGTAGGAGGCGGACCATCCCTCATCATAGTGTTAAAAATAGCCCTTGCCCGCTCGTAACAGCCACACTCAGCATAAGCCGACATTAAGCTGTTCCATGTCTTCAGATCAGGTGTTCGTCCACTTTGTCTTAGGTTTCCAACCACACTCTCCGCTTTCTGCCATAGCTTTAGCTTTCCATAAGCCTCAATCATATCAGTATACATAGGCGAACAAGCAAAGTGGAAGCCTTTTGTCTCAGCTTGATTAACCACTTGATGAGCTGTCTCCGGAAAGCCAAGCTTGCAATACACAACAACCATGCTTTTATAAACACTTTCTGATGCTTCGCAGCTAGATAGTCTCAAGTCAGAGAAAATTTGAGAAGCTTCAGCGTAATGTTCATTTGCTACACAGCAGTGTAATAGAGTTTCATACATGGTGGAACTGCCACAACACCAGCCATGAACACATGGGTCAGCAAAATATTCATCTAGAGCAGCACTTATATTGTTAACCTTGCAATGTAGAACAGTTAGAGCTTCGTTTATAAGCCTTTTAGATCCACTGGCGTGGTCTTTCAAAAATTCAAGTAACTCAAACGCTTCTGAATGTCTGCCCGATGAACTGTAGGAACCCAAAATAGACAATAGAGTGTCGTTTTCCAAGTCATACCCATTGGTGATAGCCACTTTCAACTGTCTAGCAGCAAGGTCAAAGCATTCACCCTTAACAAGAACTGATGAAATTTCTAGTGGGTTCATGCCACACAATTCTTCCATGTCTCTGATGGTTTTCTGAATGTCGTCTGACCTGTTTTCCTTCATAAGTCCAAGTATCATCAACTCATACAGACCGTGAGACGGTGTAAGACAGTCAGAAATCATATCACGATATAAAACCCATGCCTTTATTGTCTCGTTGCCTCTTAGTAATATATCCAACATCACAGAATACGCTAAATTATCAGGTTTAGTGCCTGAGCGCAACATGCAACTGAAAGTATTCTCAGCCTCCTCTCGCTTCCCAGCCTTGGCATAACCGCAGATAAGAGCACTGTAGGTCTGCAGAGTTGGTTTGATCCCAACGTCAAGCATCTCAGACATTAAAGTTGCGGCTTCCACTGTTCTGTTTGCTTTTCCAAGTGAATCAATCAAAACAGTGTAAGTAATAGCATCAGGATTTCTACCTGACAAACCTTTCATGTCCTTATAAAGCTGCAGCGCAAGATCAAGTTGCCCCTGCTTGCCATACATGTGAATGATCGTGTTATAAGTCATCTCGTCTTTCCCAAACCCCATTTTCTGCATTTCTTGGTACACCTCTTTCACCTTCTCTGTATTTCTTTCCCTAGCAAAAGCATAGAGCAAAGAGTTGTATGTCACTGCATCAGGAAAATAACCTTTAAGCTCCAGCTCCGTGAAGAGCCTCTCGGCTTCAGTAGCGAGCCCACATCTTCCATAAACAGATATCATGGCATTATAAGTCCACAAGTCAGGCTGACACCGATGAGCTTCCATGTCCTCAAAAACCTTAACTGCACCCTCCAAATTAGAATACCGCGAACAGGCACTAAGAAGAGTGTTGTAAGTGATAGCATCTGGCCTAAGACCCGAAGTCCTCACCATCTCTAATAGCTCAACAGCCAGATTTGGAGTCAACCCACCCGACTTAAGCCTGGCATTGATAAGAGTATTGAAACTAATAAGGTCTGGAACACACCCTCTGTGACGCATTGCATCGAGCAGCTCTTGTGCCTTTGAAAACTTGCCACTACGAGAATACACCCCCATCATTGCGTTGTACACTTGAACGGTGTCTCCGACGGTTGGCTCAGCCCTAGTGAAAATCTCAACCGCAAGCGACTCCTGATTCCACCGTCCCAAAACACCGAGTATAGCTGCCACCATACGAGCATTAGGTGAGTGCCAATGACGGAGATTGAGCCACTCAAAAACCTCAAGAGCTCGTTGCCAGCTCTCCTGACCAACCGATTTGACGACGAAACAGTAATCCGTAGGAGTCATCTGAACAGGGCGAGCATCGAGAATATCCGCAACGAACTGATTAGGTTTCAGGCTCAGAATCTTATCAGTCAGAAACTTCACCCTCTCTCTCCAATCCTTGGCCTTTATCAGAGCCACCTTGTTCAATTTCTTCACTCTCCTTCTCCGACTCGCCACGATGGCGGCTTCATCACCTTTCGTCTTTTGCTGCGCGCTGGCGCCAATTGAGTCGACGACTTCACCGGAATCCGGTATATCGGAGACATCGGTTGAAGAAAGAGGAGAAGAAACGGGTTGGGATGGTGTTGAAGTTCTGGAATCGTAAGTCTCACGGAGATTCAAATGTGGCCATCGGACAGCGGGAGAAGCTCGACTATAAGTGAATTTCTGGGTAGAGCTAGTGCTGCTGATGTTCCCTTGTTGTTCATCTTTATTCTCCGGACTAAGGGTGGCGCGAACGGATAAAGCAGGAGGAAAAGCTAAAGCCCCTGCAGAAACCGCCATTATTATCTTCTCTCACCTTCATAAATCCGTTGCAGCATTACTGCCGTTAATTAGATAGATATGTGAGTGTGTGAGAGAGAGAGCCATTGATACTTTTTTTATTAGTGTCTCTTGGAAGAAGAAAAACTCCTTGCTGTCTTAGTTTTTTATAAACAGACACCCTGCCGTTTTGTTGTGAGGTAGACTTGAATCTAAACCAGTCTCAAAGAAGTAGTGAAATGATGGATGACGACGAGTGCTGTTGCATTATAACGTAATGTAAATGCAATGACCCTTATAGAGAGTAATATGGTTCTGAGTGCTAAACTTTTTTTTTTGACATTCATCATCTTCTCCAATGTAATTGGTTAATTGCAATCAAAATTGGTGACATTTTCATAGAGTGAAGATATGATTATCAATGTATCGGCGTTTTGAATTTGTTTCTGGAAATTAAACAAAAATTGTCAAAATAGAGGTCTGGGAGGGAGGGACTAATACAATAACTGACCCAGTCTGGAAAAATTGGAGAAATTAAAAACAGCTAATCTTTTGTTTCTCGAGAATTTGTAACGCTCATCAAGTCTTCTTCTTCATCTGCTGCTTCTTCTTCTTCTCTCTAGTAACGACCAATACCCCAGACCCTGACAACTCCATCAGTGTAACCACTGAACAATGTGCTTCCATCGGCACTCCAGTTCAAACTTGTGCAGTAGATCACCTGCATTTTACAAATATTATCAATATCTTCTTCCTATCTAAGTCAAAACCTTTGAAGCAGAGTAACATTCCAGATCATAAAATCCCGATTTTCAAAGCTATTGTCATCAGGGAAAGGATTCAGGCAGAACCTACTTAGGCAATTTCTAACCAAAATCTGTCATAACTGAACATACATCACTACTTCTAATGCATACAATAAAACGATCAATGTAGCACAAACGATGATTTGTATTGACAGAGAACCAACTACTATCGAAACAACAAGTAGGATATTATATATGAACAATGACGACATACCTTCTTCTGGTTACCAGTTCCAACGCCACCATCAGCCTTCTCTGCCTCGGCCTTGAGATCAACCTTCAAATCCTCAACAACACTCTTGCTCTCTAGATCCCAGATCTTAATGCTGTTCTCTGTCGCAGCACACAACCAGTATCTGTTAGGACTGAAGCAAAGAGAGTGAATGATAGAGCCAGCCTCAAGCGAGTAGAGCTTCTTTCCCTCTGCCAAATCCCACAACAAGATAACACCATCTTTCCCACCACTGGCGCATAGTGAACCATCAGGCGAGACAGCGACAGTGTTGAGGTAACCCGTGTGTCCGACAAGAGAGTTCTTCAGCTTACAGTTCTGGAGATTCCACACTTTCACGGTGTGATCCCACGAAGCGGAAACAATGGTGGGCACGTTCGTGTTAGGGCTAAACCTGACACAGCTAATCCATTCCTTGTGACCATCACCTTCGGAGATGGTGTACTTGCATTCACCAAGTGTGTTCCACAGCTTGATCGTGCGGTCACGGGACGCAGATACGATCTGACGGTTATCAACGGAGAATGCGACTGAGAGCACATCTTTCGTGTGTCCGACGAAACGACGGGTCGAGACGCCGGTAGCGAGATCCCACAGACGGAGCTCACCGTCCCAGCTTCCGGAGAGTGCAAACTGACCGTCCGATGAGAGGACGACATCTTCGACAAAGTGAGAGTGACCAGTGAGCCTACGCTGAGCAACACCGTACGACTTGTCGTCCTTGGTGAGTTTCCAAAGGATGATGGATTTGTCACGCGACGCTGTGACAATGATGTCGGAATTGTCGATCGGTGTAGCGATGGCCGTGACCATATCGGTGTGGGCGCGCATAGTGCCCTTCAGTACAAGTCCCTCGGCCATGTTTAGAGGTTCTGAGCGGAGAGACTCTAGCTTACGTTTCTTCTTCTTACTCACGAAAATGGCGTAACAGTGCGAGAGATTTGGAGGTTTACCGAAATGTTGGTATTTATACTCTAGGTCTAAAAATTGGAAGAAATTAGGGTTTAGTGTCGTGGTTTCTGCAAGAGAAGACTGCTTATTTGGGCCGACGTTTCCTGGTCAACCATAGGTAGTTTTCGGAAATTGAATTTGCTTAAACGGGCCGTACATGGGCTTCTTCTGATATTAGTTTTGTTGGAGCTGTTTATGTTGTTAGGAGTTGAGAGACTTGAGACATGTTTGATCCCAAGAAAGATCAGAAGATTAAAAACGAATCCGATTGAAATGTACAAGCGTTTTCTAAAACACAACACAAAGAACACAGTCTGATTTGTTCATAATTTAGCTTTCACTAATTATTCTTAAGGTTTTAATCGTGGAGTGCACAACACACAGTAGCTTTATGATGACCTTGGTAGACCTTCACTTCTTTTCCCGCTGGCATCGACCACAATCTAGCCGTCATGTCCGATGATGCTGTACAGATATTACAAAATCAAAACCAGTTTAAAGATTGTTCTGTTAAGTTTTCCATTGGTTTAACTTAAGATAGAGATCAGTAGTACCTGTCACAAGAAATTCACCATCCACTGAAAATACGCAGTCCCAGACCCATCTTTGATGTCCTGTTAGATAAAATTAATGAAAGTGTAAGAAAGGGTAAGGGAGAACGAATCATGTTAGCAAAATCATGGAGACCAAACCTGTTAAAACTTTCTCTAATTTGAAACCATCGACGTTCCATATTTTGACGGTTTTATCAGATGATGCGGTCGCTAGATATCTGCTTACACATATACACTCGTCAGCGTTGAAGCGAGATGACAAAGAAAATGGGTTTAAGAGAAAGAATAAGAAACACATTACTTGTTTGCAGGCGAGAGGAGACATTTGAGGATGTGACCATTATGCGCTTGTAGCTTATGAAGCGGCTCAAACTCGGTCATTGTCTGAAAAAGAATAAGTATTTTTAGCGGCATGGAAATCACAAGAATGCGACTGTCACATGATTAAGAAATGTTTACATATTTGAAAATTACCTGCTTTCCACGCAGCAAGCGCCATACATAACATGTTCCACGGTTGTTAGCAGCAACCACCATTGTCCCATCCCACATAACAGTTAAAGATCGTACAGCAGTATCAACTTCTGGTACCTATAGTTACACCCCAAGTGATTATCTACAGATTCTCAGACAATGTAACTAGGACAAAGAAATTAAGACGTGTCAAAAGGCAATTACCAGTTCACAGCTACACGAATTTGCTCTGAGATCCCATACACGTATATTTCCATTTTGGTCTCCAGATATCAATTCAGTCTGTACAAAAGTGAAAATTCATGATAAAGACTAAACAGATACCTACCAGAAAAAACACCAGAGCTTTCTTTAACACACTACGAAGCTAAAAGCCAGAGAAAAACAGTCAACACCAGCAGAGGACTTGGCTAGTTGATGTACCTGATTTGGGTGTAGAACAACTGTGTTAACTGCAGCAACACTTTCATACTCCTTTTGGCAACCCGGAGCCCTGCATTTTGGTTTACCGAGTCAGTAACTTGTTCCTAAGAATACAACTCAACTCAAGAAGGTATGCTCCAGGACGTGTAATGTTCTTAGGATTTTCATAACTGTGTATTCAATATCCTTGCCATCTCCTAGAATCCACACTTGAATGAAGCTATAAACTCTCAGCTAAAAGAAGATGACATGATCTACCTCAAGTCCCAAATCTTAACTGTGCCATCCTCTGATCCTGAGTACATCCATTTCCCATCACATTGGAATCCTACTGCCATAACATTGTTGGTATGTGAATCATAGGTCATCACCTGATACGCACCAAGACTCCTTCAAAATCATTCAAGCAAGATAAAAGGAAAAAAAAAACACTCCATTGAAAAAGAAGGAGTTTTTACAGGTTGGGGGCTGTTGGAATTGACATCAAAGAGTCGTATATGAGGATTGCAAGCTGCTGCTAGATAACGCTTATCTGGGGTTATCTCCAATCTATTTACATGCTGAAAATGCAACATCAAAAACAGAAACTTTGTATTAGTCTCATTGTTACTCCATAAGGTATTCAATGATAACCCAGAAATTCACAAAATTAAGTGCGGGAGAGAGAAACAAACCGAATCAGGGTACTGAATGGTACGGTAACATCGTCCAGTTTCGGCTTCCCAGAATCGGATCGTGTGATCATAGCTAGCCGTGGCAAGAATCACAGAAGGCTGACTCATTCTCGATCGATTTTATCCCGATCGAAATAATGAACCAACCATTTGGTAATTTTTGCTGATTCCTGGAAACCAATTCAAATCCCCTTTCTCGAAGAATCAAAAGACGAATACCTTGATCCAAATTCAAGCTAGGGTTTCGTAAAATTGAGGAAACGAAAACAGGAAGAGAACTGTAAATAAATTGGAGAGAAAGGGGAAGAAGAAGACAAAGAAAGTGAAAGAGAAGAAGAAGACGAGAAAAATAGGGTTTTACTGAGAACTTATCATAATTAAAAATAAGGCGGGGAGCTTCTAGTATAAATATTTATATGTTGGGGTCATATATACATGTGTGAATAAGTAAGGGGCCATTTTGCTATTTCAGAACATGAAAACCTTTTCTCTTCACTGACTCTCTCTGTTTGTCCACTTACAGAACAGTAGTATCATTGGAAGCTTTTAGAAGTTTAGAATATTTTTTAAAAAAGACCTGTGGCTTCAATTTGGCTTTCATTAACTCAGTTTCCTCTGAAATCATGAACCTTATAAGCTCTTTCGTCCCATTGAAGAAAATGAAGGAATGTTCTGTCTTGTAGTTATATGATTTGTTTCTCGGATAAGCTGAAGGCTCTTAATTAGTGCTTTGATCCTATGTTTAGTAGGTCTTCTGGAGAAACCTTGGAGCACATACAATGCTAGACTTGTGTTAGAAGACGGCTCCGTGTGGTCGGCTAAATCATTTGGTGCTTCTGGAACCCGTGTTGCTAAATTGGTATTTAATACCTCTTTGACAGGGTGTGATTCTTTTGTCTTAACATTGCTATGCATTTCCTGGATCTTTAATGGAGTAGTATGATTGCATTGTATCTGTTTTAAAGGTATCAATAAATTCTGACTGATCCTAGATACGCTGGCCAATTTGAGCTAATGACAAATCCTCAGATCGGTAGCACTGGTGTGAATCCAGGTGATTGCAAATTCCGGTTTGAAGTTTTGAAACATTTACTGCACGATGTATGTTGTGTTCTGACTTCTGAGGTTGAGATATGTTATAATTTGCTTTCTCCCAGATGATGAAGAATCAAGGCAATGTCTTTAGGCTGGTTTAGTAACAAGAAGTCTAAGCATCAGGTAAACATATCAATTCTGATACCTCACCTCCAGGAATATTTTAGTCTACTGGAGTCTCTTTCCATTTTCCAATACATCGACATGATAGACTTTGAGAATCATAATTTTTGCAGTACCTCAAACTATAGAGATGTACGAAAACACTTGGTGACTATCTAGCAGAGAGGAACATTATGGGAATCTGTAAATTTGTTTGGTTATTGATACTAATTTAGATTTCAAGATATTATACAAATTGGGTTTATAACTTTACTCATTTTACCAGATGATCTTGACACACGGGCAATAACCCGTCGAGTAAGAGAAAGTGGCAGTCTTAACGATTAAGAGAAAGTGGCAGTTAACGGTGTAGTGGCAGTCTTTTCGATCTTTTAGTCTGATCAAAACAAAACCAAAACAAAACCGGAATGAAAACAATTCGCTCCAGAACCAAAGATCCAAAACAAAGAAATCTTGAAACGTTACCAATTCATTCCGAAGGTTCTAGTTGACTAATTAACTTTTGGATTGAAGTGCTTTCTACACGTGGGCCTCTACTTGTAACCGGAATGTCAAATGAACCGGTTCAATAATACATTGTACAAACAAAAGTGACTTGGTAATGTTGGTCCATTTTATTAAATGTTGGATTCAATTTCGTACCTAATTTAGCATATGTATATGATTCGATTTTTCTAAACCGACGAGAACCTAAAATCGGTCTATTGAAAATTGAAATTACCGAGTTCAGTTCAATATCTTTCGGTCGGAACCGTATGTTGTTTTGACCTAATAAAGTAAATTGACTTTTTAATTCGGTTAAGTTCGGTTAGATAAAGAGAAAAAATGAGATTCTGATGAGCTTTTGTGTTGAGAGATTCAGTTTCCAAAACTAGAGAATCTGTGTATCGTCGCCTCAAGTGATAACACATTCTCTCATTCATTCGCCCAAGGGATAGATCGGAGCTAAAAGCCATCCTCTCGCCGGAAATTTTTTTTCTGATTTTTTTTTTTAATTAACCTTCAAGACAGATAACAACAACACGACAGGGGAATCTTAGCCTCTCTCTCTATCTCTTCCAACTTTATCTCTCTGTCTATAGAAGAAATTGAGATATCTTCAACACGAAGCTTTTTGGTTTTGTTCTTTAATCTTTTCTAAAACAATTCAGTCAATGGATTCGTTGGTTCGAATTCAGTAGCTTCAAAGGTCATGGATTTAGTCAGGTATGTTGTAAATCTCCTTTTATGTTTCGTTGCTCTCTCTCTATTTGATTTCAAGTTCCGTGGGGTTTTAGATAAACGTTTACAACTGAGAAATTAGGTTTTCTTTTTCTTTTTTTTTTAATCGATTGATTACAAGTTTATTGCGTTTTCTGGAAAATTTTAAGGGGTTTGTGGAGAAAACATAGAAGGAAGATTTTGGTGACGACGACTTGTTTGGGAAGTGGGTATTTGCTCTACAAACTATACAATGCCCATACTCGTAAGCTCGCTGACTTGGAACAAGAGCTTGCTAACGAGCGTGTGAATGATGAGATCATCAAAACCCAGTTGAGTTTTTTTGACACCATAAGACAGAGCAGTGGTTTGGTTGTTTCTCAGTTTTTTAGTGCTTATATATGTTATTGTTTTTGGGTTTGTTGTTCTGTATTGCTTGGTTAGAATGAAGGCCCATTTCGACAACATTCAGATGATTGCTGATACTGCAACATTGCCTCACGCAATGCATCACTTGAGTAGCCGTTTAGTAGAAGAGATGGATGTCTCTAGTATTATGGCGAAGCTAAGCAAAGGAAAAGGGATTTTGATTCCTTCTGAGAAGCTTCAACTTTGGAATGAACTCAAAATTTTGAGTGCGTACTTCTCTTTCTCTCTCTCTTGCTATCTATACATATATTATCTGTGGACAACATTAGATCGTGTGATTGAACTTTCATTTTGTGTCCAGGTTTCACGAGGATGGTTTTGTCCCTTTGGTCAGTCACTATGCTTAGTTTGTACATTAGGGTTCAAGTCAATATTTTGGGCAGACATTTATATATCGACACTGCTAGAGGTCTTGGCAACTCACATTTACTTGTAAGACCTTTTTCTTCCCTTTTTTTATACTTCCTTAAGAATCATTGTTAGTTTATCAATTCCACAAGAATCATTGTTTGTTCTACGATTCACTATTATATGCTAATCTTGTTATTCATTTTGGACATACTCTCTTTTTGTTTTTGTTTTTTTGACAGGAAGAATTAGATCTCATAGATAGAGATGACGAACAAAAGTTTTTAACAAGCGCTGATTTTCTTGCGACCACTGGCATGGCGAATTTGATTTGTAATATGCAGAGTGCTGTGAAAGAAGTTCTGAAGGGGTATAATTTACATCACAGACTTACTATGAAAGATCTCTCGTTTGTTTCTTGATTAGTTTTGTGGTGCCAAATATGCTTACGAAGATCATCCTTATACTTGGTGAATGTATGACGAAATGTAATGATGTGTGTTTAATTGCAGAAAACAGTTGAAGGATGTGTTAACCACAAGGGTTCTTCAAGAAACTGTGATGCGGATACTAGATGTGTTTATGAGCACTGAAAGTCCACATCACTGGGTAGATTATCTAATGATGTCCCAAGATACGACCACTGATGCTTCCTCTCCTGATGCAACTGTCTCCAAGTTTCATCAACTCATAACCGAGACGCGGGAAGTACTCACTAGGTAACACTATCTCTGCTCTTTAACCAGCAAAAGACGAAAACTTCACTTCTTTATATAAAGCTGTGTCCTCTGTTTTTGCTTTAATGATCAAAGCATGAAAAAAGAGGAGGCTTCTTTCTTTTTTTTTTTTTGTTGCAGCCTGTAAAGATTTATCGGTCTTGTTTTCTTGTTGCAGCAATGATTTTACAAATGTAGCAGAGATCTCACTCAAGTCTTGTGCCGTTGCGTTAGTAGAGGAGATGGAAACAAAGACCGGTCTGGCCACAGGGATGCAATTGGCGAAGCTACTACCACAGATTGAGAAGACAATGCCGGAGATTTCAGCTGAACCGGACAAGAACCGGTTCTTGCAACTCATCCGAGATTTGCCTGAAGTTAAACTCTTTTTCACTCTTTTATACGCAAATATGCCTCAGTAGCATTATTTATACGCAAATTTGCCGATTCCAAATTCCCAAATTGTGTGTTTCTGTTTTATTTTTCTTTTCAATTTAATCCAAAATAGTAAAATCAAACATCATTAAAATAATCGTTCAATAGCATATTCCTTGAAGCATATTAACATATCTAACATAACAGAGACGAACATTTCAATCTGAAACATGACGAGTACGCAAATGAGATCGTTATTGACGTTACCGGACTAGTTTATAACTTCATTGATCTTGTGCATAGATATGAAGTAATTTAATTCGAAGATACATTAGACCGGCACGACTAATTGTACATGCTCTTTAGATAAAACCTAGCAAGGGGAAGTTGGGAATTTACATTTGCACAAACGTCTGCTATTGTCTACATCATAGATGCTACACTCGCAAGAAAAAGGGTACTCTTTGATTTTGTTAAAGCCTTTGATGCACGTCTTGTTCCCATCCCATCCACAGTTTTGTTCGAATACTTGTGACTTGATGCACACCACATTCTCCTCCACCGATTTCACCTCTTTAACAAATTGACAAAATGCAGCAAGTTTATAATCTTGAATATATATAACCTTTTTCTTTATTTCAAAAGAACAAACATTACGTACGTACCTTTCACGTGGTTGAGAACACAATACATAAGAATACAGGAAACCATAAACCAAGTAAAAGACTTCATGATTCGACCAAAAAATTGATATAAAAAATATTGTCTGAATATGCAGAAACTTCCTTTTTGCTTAGCTCTTATACTAAAGTAGGTTAGTCTTCTTCATATATATATATATATAATGAATTAATTTTATTTCTAATATTCAATTATATATATAGTTATAAATATTAAGCTATATAATTTTTATTGACTTGACCATATATTTTCCAAATTACTCTAACTTAGTATGTTAAAAAAGTCAAAGCATTAAGTATTTAGTAATTTCAAAATATTATATATGCTAATAACAGAACAATTTTAATAAAATTCTAGATATAGAATAAAATGAGAGATGTTTGGTTTGGTGGTCTAATTGTCTAAAGAGTAAAGAGGGTAAGGATAAGCAAAATATGTGTTTATTAATGCGAGTAAAATGATAGATCTTTCTTGTTCCTTCTACATCGATATTATTTTGCGCTTACAAGATAAAATAAATCACTGCTAATAATATATATGTTTTGTTGCTGCAAAATGTCTTCAAGAAATTCATGTGTCATTAAGACGTTAATGTCTAAGATAGCTCTCTACCTGATTCGAATATTGATTGGTTTTTTTTTTTTTTTTGTCGCCAAATTTTTGATTGGTTTTTCAGAGACTACGTTTCTGATAAAACAGGTTGCAACCTTATAGTGAACAATTTTGATATGATCTACATTGCATATTGCAATAGGTCTAAAATATCATCATTGATAAAAAGGTTACATCATCATTCTTTTAACTACCATATCGTAAAGGGTCATGGCTTGATAAATTAAACAGTTTCGATACCTCCAAAAACAATTACTTATCCCACACGGCTACCTGATAGGAAAGCTGATGACTTCACAAAACTGCCAAAATAACTGTCTCGATGTTTTGAGACTCAAACCAAACTGGCCTACAACAGCTGTTTCAATCTGAATCCACTTTACTTAAAGTACCACCTCAAAGCAAGGGAGGCACGTCACTGCAGTTGAAGTGGCTCAAGCAAGGGAGGTACCTCATTGCAGTTTAAGTGACTCGACATTCTCTAGTTTCTCTTCTAAGTTCCATCCCCTGAAACACACAACCCGCAATTTTAGTATTGAGCCTAATCCAAATTTTGAATGATGGAAAGAGGTAAGAACATATTTTCTTCACCTTTCAGCAGCTTCCTTTTTATAAGACTCGATTTGTGTCTCGAGCACGGCACAAGCAGACTGGATCTCCATATTCTTCACACATAGCTGTCTCCATTCTTGAGATAGAGCATTGAGCTCGTATGATGTCGTTTGCTAATAATATACACACACATTAAAGTTTCAGATTACCCCGTAAACCGAAGAGAATAGTGCACAGAAGATCATGTAAAATGATTTAAAGTATTCATTCACCTGATGATACTTCCTTTCCCGATTTACTTTTTCAATTTCCTCATTCTGCTCCTGAGCTAGTCTTTGCATTCTGCAATATAGAAACCAAATAGAGTGTTGGGACCAGAAAGATAGATAAGAGTTTTACAAAGAGTGACATGCCCACGAAGAGCTTCTTATGTTTCAAGGGAACAAAGAAGCTTTTTACGCATAAAGCACATGAAGAAAAAAACGCAAAGCAAGACTAATAAAGCCAAAGAAGCATGGTTCTGCAGATCATCTAGGATAAATACAATCTATTAACACAAGATCTTGAACCCTTTTAATCTCAATTAACAATGTAACGACAGACAATTCAATATGAGTGTGAACAAACCTGGACAAGAATACTTCTAACCGATGGTTGTTCTGTCTCCAGAGCTCTGGACCATGTTTTGACATCAATTCCAAATTCTCAAGCCTGTGAATTAACAAATCTACAGTTTAAAATAGGAAATCAGAATTAACAAATCATGTAGCACAAACATTAAGAAATTTGGCTTACTCGAACATCTTGTGTTGCAGTGACCGATGATTCTTCTGAAGAGACAGCTTCCAGGCAGCATCGTCGTTTTTCTTACTAGCAGGCGGCACTTCAAGCTTGTATCGGGATTCAAAATCTATCCGCACAGGAGGCTTCCCAGCTCTAACACGCTCATACTCTTTGCTAAGTGTTGGGCAGTTCTGATATTGGTTTCAAAACAAACCAACGGAGCCAAAACCAATCAATACATCAGCCCAAAAACGTACAAATTTATCCTGTTGACCTAATTCCTGAAACTAACTACAAGATCTGAAATAGTTCTTCTAATTAAAAGAGGGCTATAAACAATGATATCTTCAGGAAACACAGAAAATAAGACTATATGCTCATGAGGATTCCATTCAACTCAGAAACCTTAAACTAAAACTAATATTGACAAGTAACCCAAACTCTCTGCTTCACATTTTCTCTCCGATTAAGAAGAAAACGAATAGAACACGAACCCCTAAGATAACAAGCGCAAAATCAACATTACGACTACAAAATCCAAGATGAAGCAAAACCCAGAAACGAAAACGATTGGAAATCACCAAAATTTCATCGAACTCACTTCAACCCTAATTCAAAACCCGAGCTAGAGATACGAACAAAGAAATCGATTTAAAAAAAAAAGAAAAGAAAGAAAGAATCCAGAGTGAAATTGACCTCGAAATCAAACTTTGGAAGAGGAGGCAGGTCCTTGAGAAAGTCAGCTGGCTTCTTAGAGCTCCGGCGCATCTCTTCCTCCACCAAGCGGTCTACCTCCGACTTAATCAATGGATTGCCATAGTCGTCGTCTATATAAGGAAGCGCATCGATAATTTCTGCGTTCGCAGCACTCGCCCAGGGCCTCGCAGCCTCCGGCGCCGCCTCTAGCATCAAAACGTCCCCATTGTTCGTCGCCATAATCGAGTCTCGACTTCACAAATTGAAAGTGCCTGAGAGAGTGAGAAAGAGGAAATAGAGAGAGAGAGAGACCCCCAAGTTAAAAGAATATATAAATACTATTAGTTATAACCGGTTCAATAAGCCCGACCTTGGTCCATTGGGCCTTACTTTTAACGCTCCTAAATTTCAAAAGTTGCTTCGGTTTTTTTTTTTTTTTTTTTTTTTTTTTTTTTTTTTTTTTTTTTTGGTTTTTTGGGCAACGATTTGGTTTCATTTAAATTTGTTATTAATTTCTAAAACTAAAAGCTTGCCAAGTTTGTCGATCTCTCGTTTACGGCCACTTCGCTTTTTTCTTCCTAAATTATTCTAAACTAGTATTCTAACCCGTACTACGTATGGGCAAACATTTACTAAATATTTGTATTAATCTATATTACATATTAACAACTAATAAAAACACCTCAAATCTTAAAGTTTTATGAAACATATCTTAGCACAAAGAACCAAAAATGCAAAACGATTAAAATTTGTTGCTTTTAATAGTAGATAAAAGCAATGTAAAGTTGGATAACAAACAAAAAAAGCAATGTAGAGAGGAAGAAATGATGAATATAATACCAGTAGTTTAGGAACAAATCAGCTTTTGAGCCGGCTATTGTGTTGTTGTTTTTGATAGTTCATCAATCTGGAAAAGTAAAACAAAACTCATGGTAAACTTAATGACTTTGATATGCTCGGTGGATTGATTTTCACACCAATTTAACCGTGTTTAAGAACTCTATCTAAAACACCAAAATGTAAATAACGAATTCTATAAGAAAACAGAACTTATCTGGAACAAATAGTTGTTTAAACTATTGACATAATACTTTGAATTGGAGCAGAAGACACTTCATCTGTGGAGCCATAGACTATTTTAATAATTCTTCTTCCTAATAGAACCGATGAAGACCGGAGATGATGAATAGAGAGCGAGATGTTGAAAACAAATAAACATGAGATTGAGTTAATGGTTATTTAAAATAGAAAATATGGTTTGTAAGACTGTTTTACTGTGAACGTGGGTTCATAAATCGTGGGAACAAATTTTCAAGAATTAAACTGCCTATTTTTGAGGAAGTTATTCTCACGTAACACATTTTTTATTTATAATTTTTTAATTAATCTTTTAAAATATGAAGTAAATCTATGTGGCATAATATTATTTGCCATGTGACTTGTGCTTTATAAGATAAAAGATAACTATTTTTGGACGTGTGCATTAACTATCGATAAATAAAAGTTACACACTTGTTTAGAAAGAGCCAAACATTGAACAAGAAGTTTCTGCATGTAACAAAGACAATATATACATATTTTGTCGAATCATGAAGTCGAGTACTTTGTTTATGTTTTCTTGTCTTCTCATGTTTTGTGTTCTCAATCACGTGAAACGTACGTAGTGTGATCCCGTTACAATCATCATTAATTTTGTGTGTGATACACACGTACGTATGTGATTGATAAAATAATACATATATATAGAGGTGAGATCGGGGGTGTCTAGTACGAAGGCGAAGAAGGTGTGCACAAAGTCACAAGTATTCGAAAAAAATTGTGGGTTGGACGGAAACAAGACATGCATCAAAGGCTTTAATAAAATCAAACAGTACCCTTTTCATTGCGACTGTGACCTTTACATTCCAACCGAGAGCAAACGTTTGTGCACATGTAAATTTCCAACAACCCCTTGCTAGCTAGGTTTTTAATCAGTTGCCTACTTCTTTAACCATGTATTATCTCTCTAATTATGTCCACTATAAATTAAGAGAAAATGATCTATATAGGATTTCGAATAACCTTGATATATATTTGAGATAAATTCATCTCTAATGTATCTTCAAATTAAGTTACCTTTATATCTATGTTAAAGATCAATAAAGTTATAAACTAGTTTGGTAATTATATCGATAAAGATCTTATATATGTATGTACTTATTCAGATAATATTTTAGACATATTCTCAAAAAATTTGTCGAACTTTTGTCCATCTGATCAATATTCATTGCCAATTTTCGATAAAGAAAAGCAACATACTTCTTTACAAGAGCCAAATTAAAGTGCAAAACAAACAGAAAAGTTATGCATTTTTGAATAGCTTAAACGTCCCTTGCTTCAAAACAAAAGTTAGAGATAAGAAATATGATCATACAATGAATATAATTTCTTTTTTGACATGTTACGTATGTAATTTCTTTTTGTCATACTTTGATAATATATTAGGTGTTGAAAATTTACTATATATCAGACTAGGGTAATTCTTTTTGGGCAAACGACTAGGGTAATTAACGATAACTATATATTTGTGTTTTAACTACTCTGATGGTGACAAAAAAAAAAAAACCTAAACCTACTCTGATATTTATTTTTCTCTTCTTGTATTATTGTTGTAATAGTAACAAGAACCATATGCATCAATGAGACACATGTAATAAGACCAAAAATGCGAGGACTGAGAAAAGTGCCTCTCTTTAGACCTATTACACTATGCAATTAATAACTTCACATCAAGATTGGTCATTAGAAAGTTGCAACTGATTTTATTAAGGACTCATGCACACACGAAGTTCTGCTTTTCTTGAGGACATTTTGCAGCAATAAATCATACATTAATTACTAGTGGTGTATTTATCTTGTAAGTTCAAAATAATATCGATGTAGAAGGAACAAGAAAGATGACTATAAGAAGGTAATTTACAACAACAACAACAAAATGTTATAATTAGAAATTCAGAATGCATGCATACAAGCTCCTCCATACAATTTTGTTTTCTAAAAATACACCGCAAACTTTTTTTATCTCCTTGACTTGATCTTACATGTATCTTTAGCTTTCTCCTAATTTAGGTTAGGTAACATTTGTTCTCTCTATATAGGAATAGGATACTTCACTACAAGAGCCACCACGCAAACAGGAAGTTCATGCATGTAACAAATCAGACAATATCTTTTAATCAGTTTTTATCGAATCATGAAGTCGAGTACTTGGATAATAGTTTCTTGTGTTCTCATGTTTTGTGTTCTCAATCACGTGAAAGGTACGTATATACGTAATGAGTATACTATTGTTCTTTTGATGTAGAGATTAGTATCCGGGTTATAAACAAGTTTCAAACTTGCTGCATTATCAATTATTTCTTAATATACACGTACGCTTTATCCCTATATATATAATGTAACAGTACCATTTGTTGTGTGTGTGTGTGTACGTGATTAATAAAAAAAAAAGAGGTGAAATCTCTGGAGAAGAAGGTGAATAAGGTGTGCATAAGGGCACAAGTATTCGAGCAAAACTGTGGGTGGGATGGGAACAAGACGTGCATCGCAGGCTTTAACAAAATCAAACGATACCCTTTTTCTTGCGAGTGTACCATTTACGTTGAAGCCAATAGCAGACGTTTGTGCAGATGTAAATTTCCAACTACCCCTTGCTAAGTTTTTATCTAAGTTTGTCGATCATATATAAACCCAAAGGTTCATTTACCAGTAAGAAGAACCATATTGTACTTCCAATTCCTTCCGGGTCACTCTAAAATATGATCTGAAAGGTTTAGCCTCCAACATTTTCAGAATTTGATCTCTTAATCAGTAGAATCAAATCTTATAATTAATCAGTAAGAAAAGGGAAATTAATATTTTGGGATTAAAGGTTACCCCCATTGGGATTGTCAGCTTAACGTGGCTAATTTAATTTAAGCTCTCTCAAAGGTTTCTTCTGTTAGAGCATCTTTAAAGTGAACAATCCATACTTGAGAACACCCCTATGATGCACTAGGGCTAAGGCAGGTCACGTGTCGTAACTTTGGTTTAGGTGATCGGTTCGGATTTTGAAATAAAAGTTGTTGTCGTTAAATTCATGAGTTAAGACAATAAATTAGACCTATGCACGTTTTTGTGTGTCTTTGGCTACTAAACATAAATATAAATCTAAGCAGTAACCTAAGGCGGTCAAGCCCATAGATAATGTTAATTTTTAGTTACAAAGAGACAATATTTTATTAAAGACCAGAGACAATGCTTTCATATTGGACTTTTTTTTTTCAGATTCAAAATAAATATACGATTTTGGAAGATTGTGAAAGTAATATGTATTTTTTTCATCATATTCCAGCTTTCCTTAACATTATAACTTAGTTACTTTTTTGTAATTTCGTGGATCCATGCATTGTATTGTAAGTTTGTAACTGATCCTTGAGCATAAGTTATTTTACTGAATAAAAAATTTAACCAGAAAATGACGGATCATTTGCTCATAATCATTTTTTAAAAATCTTGGACCTATTTTGTCACAAAAATAAATTATATATTTCTTAACCGATGACTCTACCAACTTCTTTTCAATAAATATATTTTTATATGTATTGACACAATTTTAAATTTCGTATTGCAATTTTCAACAAAGAGAAAGAAAAAAAAAAAAAAGAATCATCGTAGATGTGAAGGTGCACACGTACGTCGTCATGCGACCCACCAAATAGGCTACAAGACGCGGAACTTGTTAGAATGTCTCTTTCCTACTTAACAACCTTCTTATTTTGCTATTATTATTATTAGCGATCTCTCTTATTATATAGTTTATGGTATGATTCCTCTTAATTATGATATGTTTCGTATTACCACCTAAATTAATTAATTGGAAAAAACTCATACTTTGCTTACCACATTTCAATTGGATGTTGAGGTAATCACCGCACGTTTCGGATGATTAGATATAAGCTTTCTCTTAACTAGATTTAGTCCTTCATATTCTATAGTAAGACTCAAGTTATATATCAAAACTAATCATTATTGATATTGAAGATAAGCACCAATGATTATAACCAGTAGATTGGTGATGATGTACAGTTTCAGAGTCTTAGAACAATCACATCCGCATACGACACTATATATGACCATAGCTCACGAACCATTTTCACTACTAATTAATAGAGTAAAAAGTCATCTAAAAGTATTGACAATGTATATATCCATTGCTAGTAGGGTAACGATCACTATTTGTGTTTTAACAACTCTACAAAAACATTTCAACGGAGTTAGTCTAATTAGATTGAGATACTTATTAGAACTACTTAATTTAAGACCATAACATCAATTATTGAAATCAAGTATTACATAGGAAAAATATATAAATGTAATGAAAGATTGTTGGGAAAAAAGTCCAAAGTCGACAATGGAACAACCAAGTATCACATAAATCTAGAAAAATGTCACCAACTGTTAGTTGATTCATAGCTTTCAGGCCACATTTGATTCAGCTGCCTCCCTTCGTTAATTGGAACCAGAAAAACTAAACAATCAACAAATCAATCAATCATTTAGATTTTGGTTGTGTCTGTCTTAACAGTCAACTTACAAAGTTTCTTTCATTTCCATTATTTTATTAAAGAAAAGTACTCAGTTTATGAACTTCCATTATGTTCAATATTTTTTATTTAAATATGTTTTGCTGTATTTTCGATAATTTTGTTTGTTTTTTTCTTTGCTAACCACACATTTACATGATAAAATATATTTTTTCTTCATTGATAATCCAATTTGGAAAAGAAAAATTATACAAAAAAATAATCACACATTGTAATTCTGTTTGTTTATTAAAATTATATCTATTAAATTACTTGAAATAATTAACGAAACTAAAAAGAAGAATCGTGGGGAGCATTAACTAAGCTGCTTACTAAGACTTGTTCTTCGACTAACAACTTCTTCATGCCCTCCAAATCCTTCCTCTCCAATGCCGACACTCTCCTGATTTATAAAAATTACTAGTAAGACCCCTCTCTTCTTTTATTAATACACTAATTAATATTCATTCAACATGTATTATTAATCTTCAACACCTAAACGTTTTCTTCCTGATCTTGTCTTCAAATCTTATAGAGACAAAAATACACACGACCAATTTCTTAGAACAAGTTTTTAAATACTTCAGACAATCCTCTCCCTCTCTCACATTCATTCATCTCTCTCTCTCTCTCTCTCTACATTGGCGAGAAGACTGGTTTTTAGAGGTTTCTTGTAGCACAAGAAAGATCAAAGTTTGTGTGACTTTGTTACCAAAAGAAAAACAAAAAAGTTTGTGTAACTTGATGAGAAACAAAGTAATGACAGAGAAGGATCTTCTTTACGACACAATACTTGCTCGTAGCTTTAGCAAAAACGAGCAGAAGAAACTTGGCTATGGAGCTTTCGTCGCCTCTCTTCTCTTCGTCTTCACTCTTTGCACTGTCTTTAAACCTTATCTCAGCCCTCTACCAATCGGTACTGTCCCTTACCACGTTTTCCAAAACGTCATACGCAAAACCAATCAATTTTTTAACGTTTATCTTTTGTTTCTTCAGTGGAGTTACAAGTATCAGTTGACGCTGGTCTCAGAATGCTGAGAATAACCGAACCGCAGAAACCACAAGCGATAAGGAGCAGCAACGATGCAGCATCTGAAGATTCTGAGGAACTCATTGTCCCAACGAAGCAAGATGATGTTATTACACCAAGTACAGTAATTATTACTCAAAGCCTAGTCGGTTCTGATAATCAGAAGCTTAGTGTGTGCAACGACACAAGCTTGCCCAAGAATCATCTTGATTCGTTTAATTGTACTACCAACACTACAATCTCTAAAGAACAAGTCATTTCAGGTCAAACATACTTCAAATTATTCTCTATCTACAATTGTCTTGTCTTGTTAATGGTATAAGTCAATTTATTGATATTTTGTTGTTGTTTGGGTGAATGTTCAGATCAAAATAAATTGGAGGGAACCATGAAACCTATATGCAACAAGCTAGCAAGAACAGACTTCTGTGAGCTAAGCGGCGACGTAAGAATCCATGGCAAATCCGCGACTGTTTTTGCAGCGATCACGTTTGCGTTCTCGGGGAATTCCACGTGGCAAATGAGACCTTACGCGCGAAAAGGTGATAAGGCGGCCATGAATCGCGTCAGAGAATGGACGGTTAAATTGGAACAAAACGCTGATCAATTAGAGAACGCTAGTTTATCGCGCTGCGTTAGGAATCACAGCGTTCCGGCGATGCTCTTCTCCCTCGGAGGCTACTCAATGAACAATTTCCACGATTTCACCGACATCGTGATTCCTCTGTACACGACGGCGCGTAGATTCAACGGCGAGGTTCAGTTCCTCGTGACGAACAAGAATCCACGGTGGGCCGAAAAGTTTAAAGAACTACTGAGGAAACTCTCGAATTACGAAGTGATTTACATCGACGAAGAAGACGAAGCGCACTGTTTTAGCAGCGTCGTTGTCGGTCTTACTCGCCACCGTGAGTATTACAAAGAGCTGACGATCGATCCTTCGAATTCCGAGTATTCCATGTCCGATTTCAGGAGTTTCCTAAGAGACGCATACTCGTTGCGTAACGCCGCCGTGACTACGAGACAGATGCGGCGGCGGAGGCCACGGATTCTGATTTTGGCTAGAGGCAGATCGAGAGCGTTCGTGAACGCCGGCGAGATCGCGAGAGCGGCGAGGCTAATCGGATTCAAAGTCGTTGTGGCGGAAGCGAACACGGGACTCGCGGATTTCTCACAAACGGTGAATTCCTGCGACGTGATGCTCGGCGTTCACGGCGCGGGGCTGACGAACATGGTGTTCTTGCCGGAGAACGCGGTGGTGGTTCAGATTCTTCCGATAGGTGGATTCGAGTGGCTCGCGAAGACGGACTTCGAGGATCCGTCGAAGGGGATGAATCTGAGGTACCTGGAGTACAAGATCGCGCCGGAGGAGAGCACGCTGATGCACAAGTACGGACGCGATCACGAGATCGTTAGGGATCCATCGGCGGTTGCGAAACACGGGTGGGAAATGTTTAAGTCGGTTTATTTGGTACAGCAGAACGTCAGCGTCGATATAAACCGGTTCAAGCCGGTTCTTGTCAAAGCTCTTGAGCTTTTGCAGAGTCAGTTGTCGGTATAATTAAAATATTTACTGCATTCGCATACTGTACATTCGTGTAGTCGGATCGTAATATTTATTATAAAAACACAAATTGTATACTTTATTGAAATTAATCAGATTTTCGAAAAATTTAAAAATAATTGTCAATTGTTTACATTAGGAAAATTGCAGAGATAAGTATAACCAATAGATTTTTAAAAAGGAAATATTAAGCTCACACAAGAGTTGAAGTATGTATACGTTAACCTTTTACGGTTTGTGTAAGCAGCTTTAATCTGTTTGAAAAGCGATTCCACCATTTTAACGGATGCTTTTGTCATGCTTTTCTTCTTCTCTAATTTTTGGTCTCAATTTAATTGTATTGTTTAATATATTTCTTAAATTTTGGGATGCAGCTAAATGAAGCTATGTACAGAAATCTAAGACTTCTTCTCTTCTTCGCCTTCTTCAATAAACTCTACTAATGTAGGATCGAACCCTGGTAGGAATGTTGATCAAGGTGAGATGATGCTGTCTTAACATCCAAGGATTTATATAGAATGAAACAAAAAACGATCAACGTTCTGTTACATTTGTGAGTAAACTCTGTTTTTAAGGTTTCTTGCGGCATAAGAAAGAAAGAGATTATTTCTGTAATTTAAGAGACGACAAAGAAGGATCTTCTTTACGATACAACAATGATTGCTCGTAGCTTTAGCAAAAACGAACAGAAGATACTTGGCTATGGAGCTTTCATCGCCTCTCTTCTCTTTGTCTTCACTCTTTGCACTGTCTTTAAACCTTCTCTCAGCCCTTTACCAGTCGGTAAGTCCCTTACTACGTTTCCCAAATAGCCAGAAAACTCAAAACACAATCTTTTTATAACGTTCATCTTTCGTTCTTCAAGTGGAGTTACGCTTATCAGTGGACGCTAGTCTCAGGATGCTGCCTAAACCACAAGCGTTAAGGAGCAGCAACGATGCCACATCTGGAGACTCTGAGAAACCCATTATTCCAACAAATCAAGATAGTGTTAAATCAAATGCATTAATTAGTCAGAGGCAGAGCCTAATCAGTTGTGAAGATCACAAGCTTAGTGTCTGCAACGACACAAGCATACCCAAGAACCATCTTGACTCCTTTGACTCTACTACGAAAGCTACAATCTTCAAAGAACAAGTTACTTCAGGTACACATATTCTATGATTGTTATTTAGCAGTTGTCCTAATGGTTCTTAGTCAATTTCTGTATACTTAAGATTCTGAAAGTGTTATTTTGTTTTGTCTTGGCTGGGTGAATATTTCAGATCGAAATAAAATGGGGAAAACAATAAAACATGTCTGTAACAGTAACAACCTAGGAAGCAAAGAGTTTTGCGACCTAAGCGGCAACGTACAAATTCACGGTAAATCTGGAACTGTCCTTGCGGCGATCACGTTTGCGTTTCCCGGGAACTCGACGTGGCGTATAAAACCTTATGCAAGAAAAGACGAAGTTGCGGCCATGAAACGCGTTAGAGAATGGACCGTGATATTAACACAAAACGCGAACGCTAGTTTCCCGCGTTGCGTGAGGAACCACAGCGTTCCGGGGATTCTTTTCTCTCTCGGAGGCTTCTCACTGAACCATTTCCATGATTTCACCGATATTGTAATTCCTCTGTACACGACAGCGCGTAGATTCAACCGCGAGGTTCAGTTCCTCGTGACGAACAAGAATCCCTGGTGGATCAACAAATTTAAGGAGTTGGTGAGGAACTTGTCGAATTACGAAGTTATCAACATCGACGAAGAAGACGAGACGCTCTGTTTCAGCAGCGTCATCATCGGTCTCAATCGCTACCGTGATTATTACAAAGAGCTAACCATCGATCCTTCGAATTCGGAGTATTCCATGTCCGATTTCCGGAGTTTTCTAAGAGATGCATACTCATTGAGAAACGCCGCCGTGAAAACTCGGCGGAGGCCACGGATTCTGATTTTGTCGAGAAGCACATCGCGAGCGCTTGTGAACGCGGGAGAAATCGCGAGAGCGGCGAGTCAGATCGGATTCAAAGTTAAGGTGGCGGAAGCGAACAACGGAGTCGCCAGTTTCGCACAAACGGTGAATTCGTTCGACGTCATGCTCGCTGTTCACGGCGCGGGTTTAACGAACATGGTCTTTTTACCGGATAACGCGACCGTGATTCAGATTCTTCCGATCGGTGGATTCGAGTGGCTCGCGAAGACGGATTTCGAGGATCCTTCTAAGGCTATGAATCTGAAGTATCTGGAGTACAAGATCGCGCCGGAGGAGAGCACACTGATGAAGAAGTACGGACGCGATCACGAGATTGTGAAAGATCCATTGGCGGTTGCAAAGCGCGGGTGGGAAACGTTCAAATCGGTTTATTTGTTACAGCAGAACGTCAGTGTTGATATCAACCGGTTCAAGCCGGTTCTCGTCGAAGCTCTTGAACTATTGCACAATTAAATATTATGGCTACAAATTAGTAATTCCTGTAGTCGTGTAGTAATTTCTGTACACAAATAGGTGATGGTTGAGGTTTAACGCATGTTAATTTTGATTTTACCTCTTTTTTTGGTATATTTTTACTTTTGAATAAAATTTACTCAAATGTATTTTAAATTAAATTTCAAATTAATAAACTGTATCTCCTTTTTTTTTTTTTTTTTTTTACTTCAGTTTGTTTTAGTTAATCTGGAAACTAGAACATAATCATTTTCCGGTTTAGACAAAATGTAATAGGCAACACAAACCAACATGCATGGTTTTATTTCCTTTTCGAATCGGGCCTTTACGGCCTAAATGTGTTTCACTCAGTTAGGCCCATCCGTAAAACAAAAGAACAGCGTAAACCCTAAGTGAGTTTTTGAAATTTTCTATTCTCTCTTTTCATTTCCAGAACAGTCTCGTCGTGCTCCATCTAGGGTTTTCTGCAAATTTCCTTCTTTTTTCCTCATCGATATCATTTCCCGTAGTAAGCAATCCAAAATCTCGATCTTCCTCGGTTATAGCAAAAAATGGCGGCGGTAGCGGCACCGATGGCATCGAAACCCCGTGGATCTAAAGCAGAGTCGTTCGTAGACAACAAGCGTAGAGAAGATATCAGATTCGCCAACATCAACTCTGCTCGCGCCGTCTCAGACGCCGTCCGTACGAGTTTGGGCCCTAAGGGTATGGACAAGATGATTTCCACGGCGAACGGAGAGGTTATCATCACTAACGATGGAGCTACGATCCTCAACAAGATGGAGGTTTTGCAGCCAGCAGCGAAGATGTTGGTCGAGCTTTCTAAATCACAAGATTCAGCTGCCGGAGATGGTACCACCACTGTTGTTGTAATCGCCGGTGCACTACTCAAGGAGTGTCAATCGCTTCTTACGAACGGGATCCACCCTACTGTTATTTCAGATTCGCTTCACAAGGCTTGTGGTAAGGCAATTGATATTTTGACGGCCATGGCTGTTCCGGTGGAGCTCACTGATCGAGATTCACTTGTTAAATCTGCGAGCACGTCGCTTAACAGTAAGGTTGTTAGTCAGTACTCTACATTACTTGCTCCTTTAGCTGTAGATGCGGTTCTTTCTGTTATAGATCCGGAAAAGCCAGATATTGTGGATTTGCGTGATATTAAGATTGTTAAGAAGCTTGGTGGGACTGTGGATGATACACATACGGTGAAAGGTTTGGTTTTTGACAAGAAGGTTAGCCGTGCTGCTGGTGGACCAACTCGTGTGGAGAATGCTAAGATCGCTGTGATTCAGTTCCAGATCTCACCTCCGAAGACTGACATTGAGCAGAGTATTGTTGTCTCTGACTATACTCAGATGGATAGAATCTTGAAAGAAGAGAGGAATTACATCTTGGGGATGATTAAGAAGATCAAAGCCACTGGTTGCAATGTGTTGCTCATCCAGAAGAGTATTTTGAGGGATGCGGTGACTGATCTATCACTTCACTATTTGGCCAAAGCTAAAATCATGGTTATCAAGGATGTAGAGAGAGATGAGATTGAATTCGTCACCAAGACATTGAACTGCTTGCCAATCGCCAATATTGAACATTTCAGAGCTGAGAAGCTTGGTCATGCTGATCTTGTTGAAGAAGCCTCCCTTGGAGATGGAAAGATTTTGAAGATCACTGGAATCAAAGACATGGGAAGAACTACATCTGTTCTTGTCCGTGGCTCCAACCAGCTTGTTCTAGATGAAGCTGAAAGGAGTTTACATGATGCGTTATGTGTGGTTAGGTGTTTGGTGAGCAAGAGGTTCTTGATTGCAGGAGGTGGGGCACCAGAGATTGAGCTCTCAAGGCAGCTTGGTGCTTGGGCTAAGGTTCTCCATGGAATGGAAGGTTACTGTGTGAAGTCTTTTGCTGAAGCTCTTGAGGTCATTCCTTACACACTTGCCGAGAATGCAGGGTTAAACCCTATCGCCATTGTGACTGAACTCAGAAACAAGCATGCTCAAGGAGAAATCAACTCGGGTATCAATGTGAGGAAAGGACAAATCACCAATATCTTGGAGGAAAATGTTGTTCAGCCCCTGCTTGTGAGTACCAGTGCAATCACTCTAGCAACTGAATGTGTAAGGATGATTTTGAAGATTGATGACATCGTTACTGTGAGGTAGTGTGGTAGTTTCTTTCAAAACAGGTCCGAGAACATTTATCCTGCTTTATCTAAGCTTTGTTTCTTTATCATGATGTTTGTGTTTGCACAATGGTTGAACTTAGACTCCCTTTTTTTTTCACCATGTGCTATTGCAGCCAAGTGGTTTTATTTGTGGTTTAGTGGGTTTGTATTTCTTTCTAGTGACTTTATATCAAGATTTCTCTTTTTTTGTTTCATATACTGATTAGTTTTGTCATAATAGTCAAACGGTAGAAGTAGAATCAGAACTTCGATTACTGCATTGCTGGGACTCAAATATTTGATCATGGGTTACAAAAAAATATCAGCTTATCTGGGTGACCATAGACTGGGTCACAAATGTTACGGATTCGTTGTATGAAAGCTCAAGACAGTACACAGTTGCAGGACACATGAGTTTCTCCAGCACATTGGTCTGTCTCCAACCAGACCAGATTGCAACTTACATTTACACTTTGTTTCTAAATGGTCAAGTGTCAACTTTGAATTAATGTTATCATCTTTCCATTTATTGAGAAATTAATTGCAACCCAATTTTGATTACAACTCAAAAGTAAACGACTAGAATATCCATTGTATGAGAGACCCACTTGAGGAGCCTGTGTGTTGGCCAAGTACTTGTGTGTGTATTTACAGAGAAGTAAACCGTCGTGTTTGGAAAAGTGTAAACTTTTACACTGCTGATTCAGAATTAGTCTTCTTGTGTTGTGCCTCTAGTAGATGTTTGGTTAGTGACTCTGGATCTTGTTGACTCTCCTCTAGTACCTGTTTTCTTTCTTCGTTTTTGCCCCAAAGAACTAAGTAGAGCCCCAACATTATGAACACTGCACCAACAATCCTGCAAATGAAAGAGTGAATTAACTCGAGCAATTCAAAGAAAGAAAGCATGATAATCACGTTTTCAATGCTTACCTTCCGGAGTATAACTGATCACCAAGAATAAGAAGTGCCATTGCAGCAACAAGAAGTGTTTGTAGTGGCTGGAAGACAGCGACAAAGACTGGACCGCTTTTGTAGATACACCATGTCTGAAGATAAACCACCAACCCGGATGCTATTATTCCCTGTAAGCACGGCCAAAGACAATTTCATTTAGCGAATTTAATTGATTCATATAAAGGAAAAGGAAGAGAGAGGTAGGGAGCTTACAGCGTATAGGATGGTGAAGAGCTCTTCCCAAGAGGCAATGATCCAGTTATTAACATCAGTTTCCACAAACAGAGCAATGACCAGAAACTGAATCAGGCCGAAGAAACATGTGAAGGATGTTAAAGTGAGCTTTGCCGGGTATTGCTTTAGAACAGGAGCTTGAAGAACCATCCAACCAGCCCATGATAGACAATGTCCCATTAAGTACAACCATCCGAGTTTCCAGTTCTGTGGTTTGTCAGATCCGATCACCTCTTCCTCTTGCATGTTAAGGCTCTTGTCAAAGATCGGAAATCCTCTGTACAATGTGATCACGGTGGCGCCACCGATGCTCACAAGGGTTCCCAATACTTTGGCCACACCATGTTTCCTGACCAGGTCTATTTTCTCTAACCTTGAATCACAGTGGAAGATCAATGTTAGATGCAACACAAGAAAATGATCAATACTATTTCCATGAAAGAAGTGGTTGTTAGGTACCTTAGGGCACAAGCCATAATGAAAGTGATGGCAGGAACAGAGTTCTGCATTGCGGAAGCAAATGTTGGAGTAGCATAGTTAAGTCCCAATAGGTAGAATCCCTGGTTCGCTGTGATACTGATGTTGAAACAGACAAAGAAAGTTTCAGAATTTCAAGAACTGAGGAACAAGTTGATATTATTTTGTCTCTCTGGTTAAGCTTTTACCCTATGAGTGCCAAGAAGAAGAACTGAGCCAGTAAAGAGAATGTGAGTGGAGGCCTTTCCTTTCTGTTGATATACAAAGCATTGTTAAGAATACTAACAACCAAATATAAAAGATCCAAACTTGAGATCTTATCCCAAAAAAACCAAAGGGACAAAACTTCTTGAAGGTTAAATTCAGATGAGATCAAAAGGAAAAACTTTCTAAATTTAGTAAGTTACACAAGAAACCTATATGAAAAAAAACAAACCCTTTTCGTTGTCATAAGTTTTCTTTCTTTTGTCAGAAAAATCTAAGATATGAGTTTGCATAAACCCCAAAAACTGTGAGAGATGTAGCAGACTTACTTTTCGAAGAAGTAAGCGAATGGACCTATGAGGACAAGGGCAAGGATATTCCTATAAACAGGGTACACAACTTTGCTGACACCAATGTTAAGAGCAACCCTTGAAACAATGTGGAAGCCAGCAAAACAGAACTGAAGAGTGATCAATGCCACCACAAGCTTCATCTTCTCTGACACTACTTTCCCCATTTCCCCTTCTTCTTCTTGGGCTCTTCTCTTTTTGAAGTTTGATAAGCACATCAAGATTGCTTTTTATACTAAAGTGTGGTGGAGAATTCGAGATTTAAAATACAAAAAAAAATATAAATTAATAAGTCACAATAAATAAAAATGGATGATTAGGGGAGAAAAGAGATGATACGTCATTTCTTCAAGTGGACCACTATAGTTGTTTATATAATGAATGATTATGAATAATGCTCTGATCATTTGTCTGTAATAATACGATTCGGAGGTTTAATGTTTATGTGACCTCTAGATATGCATGCATTGTGATGGTTAGTTAGTTCCCACTCATGTTTAATGTTAAAATTCTTGAGTCGTTCTTGTCATCTACAATTCATACAAGAAAATTTTGAATTTTGGGTTGTGAAAAGATGGTTAACAGTGTAATACAAACCACCATTGCTTCTAACGTTGTTGATATCTAAAATATAAGTTTAATTTGATTTGAAGTTTACAATTCTAGTATTTTATTTTATTTTTGTTTAAGAAATAATAATGATAGTATATTATGGTTATGGTTATTTGTGATACATTTTGGAGAACAAAACCTTTAATCGTTTTGAATTATCTTTTAATTTGATGATGCAGCTTAAGGTTTATCATCTTTTGTAATTATGAGTTCTAATGGAATCGAAGAGCATGTGATGTACCTCACAATTAGGCATCTTGTCTTGAATGTGGAAAAGCATGATTAAATAAAGTTTGCTAATAAAATATGCATGCAAGGAGCACTAACCACCGTTTATTCAGTTAACTTGTTCTTCTTCATGTAATTAGATTCCATAAAACGGCTGCAACCAAATGTACCATCAATTAACTTGATTTTTTTTTTAAAACCATAACATCTTGCCAAAAATAATATGTTAAATAATATATATATCTTGACCTGATTTGTAATGTGATAAGAAAAACTAGTGTTTTTTTAAATAATATTTTTAGCAAATTTAAATAATTTGTACTCTGTACTCTCTTTTTTTCTTCTAGTGGCCTTAATTAAAGAAGGGACACATGCAAGATTCTCAATTTATTCATCCCATGATAAGAACAAATTCTCAGTTTTTGTTAATATAAATCAAAATATTCCAAATTCAGAATCCAAAAGAAAATAGTAAAGGATCAAAACTGAAACACAAAACTAACAACAGCAATATCAATAACTAACTGGCACAAAAAAGAAAACACCTAGACACCAAATCTTTTGAAATTCTTCTTTGAGACAGATCCTGAACAATCCCTTATTGAACTCAGACTTAAACATTAAGACAATCTGCGTAATGATGGTAGATTAGTTGTGGTTTCAACGACTTTGGCACACACATAGACATCAAATCTTTTAAAAGATTTCAATCAGACGCCCACCCAAATAATCCTTACAGGTTATATAATGAAGATGAATGGATTGTGTTTTCATTTGGTATGATCATATAAACATCGAAAAACAACATAAATAGTCAAAGAAAGATAGCAATAAACCCGGGAAAAAAATATCAAATTTTGGGTGAGAAAATGAATGTCAAAAGAGTATAAAAGAGACCATAAATAACAGATCCAGAAGGATTCAATGAACAGCCTTAAAAGTCAACTTAAATTGGGTTGGTAGTACCGTTTCACAACCAATTTCGATTTGTCTTGCCATGAAATCACAAGACAGAAACAAAACACCCTTCAAATCTTTTCTTCTCTCTTCCATTATTAAGAACAACGTGCAAATGGCCCTATAATCCTCTTCACTATTCAAAAGAGACTACCAAGATAATAAATCCTTAAACGTTCTGTTAGAGCAAAACCAATTTTTTTTTGTGGCTCTAGCCATAGGTGAAGAGCACAACGAATATGGTGGTTTAAGAGAGCAGTATTACCATATCCAATTTGATAACACCAAATTTTCCTTACACTGAAAAAAACAACAAAAATTGGATAACAATATAACTCCTTGTGGTACAGGTGAAGTTTGAGACTAGATTTCATGTACATAATTATCAAAGAGTCAGAGAAACGATAAACAGAGACCCCATATACCTCAAATGATTTCTACATTGGCTCAGTTTTAAGTCAGCTTAAAACAAGAGCAGTTCTTCAGGGCTTGATCTCAAATTCTAAAGTCATCCAATATAGGTTATTACTTATATTATTAGTGTTCATCAAGCTTGGGTTTGACGTGCTGCTTTAAACAATTTCTGCAATAGCAATAAAGAACATATAATCATCGACCATTGCAGTGTAAACAGACGGCTATAGGCTTGATCATTCAAAGGCTTACCTTTCTTAGAGCATCAATGGACCGCACTTTCTCCTCTCTCTTTTCACAAAAGCACTCTCCACACCAGCTGGAGAATTCCTTCTGATGAGTTTTGAGCTCTCTAAATACAGAGCTGCATGGAACGACATTGAAGGAAAGGATAATAAGAAACTAAATAACAATAAAATTCAATGCAAGGAAAATGTAAGGCAGTCCAGAGGCAAATTTCAGTTTTTATTTACCTTCGGCACCACAGAAGCATATTGACCCGATGCCCTGCTGTTGTGGCTCTGGCACCATGGCGGTGGCGCCCACGGTGGAGTACAGCTTGTCCCGGTACATGATCATAATCATATATTTCCTGCTTTCGAGAACAAGCAGAAGTTGAAATTGGCCATCAGCCATATATGGAATGTGAGAAGACAAGAAAGTAACAGAACAAGAATAGCATACATCTGGCTTTGTTGCTGTGTTCACATGTTTTTCACACCGCGTGCCTCGGAAAAATAGCTCCCCTCCCACAAATTGTTTACCCAAACAAACATTCAGCGTTACTTCTGAATCATCCACATGAAAGCCTGCAAATATATAAGATCTCATTATTTTCAATCAGAACTACGTGGGAACTGGAGTATATCTGCATTTAGGACAACTAGTCAGGTCAAGTGAACATTATGCAGGATATGTCAAAGGGTCTCACCTAAATCAACATCCCTATCTTTACCATATTCAACAACAAAACCATGGTGAGAATCCAGAGTTGCTCCACCAACATCATTGAAGAATACTACAAAACAGAAGAGGTTAAGTAGCTTTCTAGATAACACTGTCACATATAAATGGAATTTCGAATAATAGTCTATGTACTGGATTTAATTTATATTTGCCTTTGGAAATGGGACGAATAAAGCCCTCCATGAGTTTGTCAAGCATGGTATCCAGACCAAAGTCGTCAAGCACAGCACCATATTTATTCATGGTGTTTGGTCTCATTATTCGGAATTTAGTCTCACCTACCCACCTTTCAAAATTGTCTATCTGCATGGTCAAACAGTAGCAAATGAACCAAATATGAAGGTAATAAAAAGGATAGACAAAAAAGAAAAATAGATCCGCATTACCTCGGATAGCATCATCTCGCAAAAGCTAGGCTGGAGCATATCAAAGACGAACACACCAGGAGATGGTTCAGATATTATGTTTCTGAAGCTGTCCTCTGTGTTTTCATTAATGGCCTTTAGGAAAGTGGGAACAAAGCAGACCGTGGGAACAAGAGTATACAACTCCCTGTGAAGTGGCTGCAGTAGGAAAAAACATCAAACCACTAACTAATGACTGGAGCAGAGCGATATTTTACAAAACGAAGCTACAAAAAAAAGATTCATACCTGATAATTCGATATTATCTTCTGCCTATAGTCCTTGTGCCTTTGAGCCTGTAGCATCATCAGAAAAAGAAAATAAAATTCTGAGGCTCAATTCAATTAAGAAATTAAACAGTAAATGTAATGTCTTTGGTCATCATCAAACTAGATCGAACTTTCTAATAACCACTTAACTATAGTGAGGCCTATACATAGCAGCAAAAGCTCAAATTTTTAGTCAACGAGATGTAAATCCACAAAAACTAAGCAAGTGGGTCGAACTAAGAAGTTCCCAAAGCAATTCCCATCTCATCAACACACAAAAAATCAGAATACAAAAATAAAAAACAGAGAGAAAAGGTCCAAAGATAGTACTTACTCTGGAACGCTCTCCATGAGGAAGATGCCTAAGCATAATGTCAGTCATGAATTTAACTTTGTCATCCCGATTGGAGACAAGCATATTCGGAGGCAAGTACTTCTCCAGACTAGAGTAAATCGAGTTGGGGAAATCAAGCTGCAGATCTTCGTAACTATCCGGTCTATGCTCGTTGTTAGGGTTTAGCCTCAGTCTCTGGCAAGAGACCACCGAAGATGTAGCAGCTCTCATCGTCACAGGATGAGAATTATTGCCTCCAATTGTTCCGTTACCTTCCACCGTCGTCGTCGTCTCCTGCGAACCTTCTCGTTGCTCACTTGACATTATTACTATTCACGCCTCAGAGAATTTTCAAAACGGTGAGAAGAACTAGGGTTTCTTCTTCACACTACATTCCAAATGCAGAGCCCAAATTCTTAAATAGAGAAATTGAAATCGGCTTTGTGGTTTATATTGCTTTTGCTCTCTCTCTCTCTCTCGATCTGGAGATTCTGATTTTTGGGTTCCCGTTGAAGTTAGGGTTTCTGAAATGTTCCCTCGAAGATTTTTTTTTTTTTTACTTTTTTTATTTGTGTGTTAAAATTACGCACGAAACCTCTCCAATCACACACTTTATAAGAGATAAAATTAGTTATTAGTTATCCAGCCCATCTTCAAGGCCCATTAACCGGCTATACAAGTCTGGAAGATATCACATTCGAGAGAGATGGAGACAATTGAAAGAGCAAAACATGTCATGTCATGTCATTGTCACAAAAACATCACAAGGGCCTAGAAAGAGTTGTGATGTTTGTCAAATTCCTCCTCAGGTATATCCGTATATATCTCTCAACATAAGCGGAAGGAGAGCTATCAATGGTTTGATTTCATTACCGAGTTTTGATCATGATTAGACAAGTTTTTGCATAAAAAAAATTGGAGTGTGTAGAGTGACTGGACATGAACCATCTCTTTGGATCTAGTTCAATAGTCTCCTCTGGAGTTTGTCTGATAATGATTACACGTGTGACAGTTTGATAGTCTCCTCCAGTGTTTGTTAACTTTAAAACACGTGTGAATAAAACCTTAACCTTTCGCTCTCAAAAGGTCAAAGCTTGGTGCGCTTCGCTGTCACTTCCTTGTTCGTCTCTTTGGCCTCGGGTTGCCAAAATCGTTTGTGCGCCATACATCTTTATCTTTTCTTCTTTATTCTGATCACGCAAACAACCGTAAGAATTGCGAGTAGCTCTGTGGCGAAGTAGAAATGTGGAAGGAGGCATCTTTGGATTTGGTGCTTGTGCCGACGGGTCTCCTCGTGATGGTAGCTTACCATATCTGGCTTGTCTACGCTATTTATCACCGTCCCAAGCTCACTGTTATTTCGCTTAACGCTGAAACTCGACGACAATGGGTTTTCTCTATGATGACTGTACGTTTCTCTCTTCTCCTTTCTACTGATTTCGTGACGCTCTCTAGGTCTTTTTTGGTATTTCTGATTCTGGAGATTTTGGGGTCTAAATTAGTGTTATTGCTGTCGGAACTGTTTGGAATTTTGATTTGAAAGGCTAGGTTTATGGCAATGCAGCTACTTTGTTCGGTGATTTTACGATTTGGGTATTGAGATTCTTACTTCTCTCTTGTGAAATTAGGGAAAAAGGGGAATGCTTTATGTCCTGAATTTATCATTTTTCATGATTCTGAGGTTTTCAAGGTCAATCAAAAACTAGTAAACCATATATTTGGATCTTCCAAACATCGTAGAGCAAAATTGAGCCAGGGTTTATTATGATTAAGGATGCTGAGGTTAGGAGAGTCAAGTGATGTTAGATGTGAATCTCAACAATTTTTCAAGAACTTACTGCCTTTTTTTCTTGTCCATGGAGGATATGTTTTCTTCTCGGTAGTTCATCCCTACATATATGTCAGCTAGAATCTTGGAGCTAGTTAATGGCTTTCATTAGATAGGAACAGAGTCATAGATATGAGAAACATAAGAACACAGTCATATCAAGTGTCTGTCCATTAAGAATCGAATATCGGTGGTCTTGCCTATTACTATTGTTTCTTTGCAGTAGATGATATAAGTTTCTATATTGTTATTTTTCAGGAGCCTCTGAAAAACGGTACCTTGGCTGTTCAAACAATCCGAAACAACATAATGGCATCAACCCTTTTAGCCACAGCAGCAATCACTCTGTGTTCCATCATAGGCGTCTTTGTAAGCAACTCTTCAGCTTCAAAAAACAACCCGACAAGTCTTATATATGGGAGCAAAAGCCCTCGCTTAGCATCAGTCAAGAACTTTGCAATCCTGATCTGCTTCCTCACGGCTTTTCTCTGCAACGTCCAGTCAATCAGGTACTATGCTCACGTAAGTTTCCTAGTTACAGTGCCCGTCTCGAGAGGGAAAAGAGAACACTGCGAGTACGTGTCTAGAAACCTGAACCGAGCTAGCTACTTCTGGTCTCTTGGATTGCGGTCTTTCTACTTCTCCTTCCCGCTCTTCTTATGGACCTTTGGCCCCATCCCTATGTTTGTGTGCTGCTGTATAATGTCCTCGATTCTATATTTCTTGGACACGACAACTAGTTTCACCAGGCATCTCCATAGCCAGTCGTTCAGAGAAACCGCTGATTCAAAGGACGATGAAATCGAATCAGCGGTTCATGCTCTATAGACTCTTCTCTTAATTTTGTTGTGTGGGGGTGTTAATTGAGATTGTCAAGAGTTACATAGTTTTCTTGTAATGTGATGGAACAAACTTTGGCTGCGATTGTATATTTGCGTCTGAAAATGCAAACACAAACAAATAATCGAAGTCTGTACTGTAGTCTATGTAATCTCTTAGGCTTTGTTCCCGTTATGTATTCTTCTTAATGACTGAAAGTAACTGTTTATGGTCAAATTTAGAAATTGTATACTATTTTGATCCAACCACGTTGCATTTACTATGAATAATACTATACCAACTCAATAAATTGTTTTGTCATATTGGTCGAATCCAGAGATTTATTCTCTAAAGTCTTTTTAGCAGGCCTTTTTAGTTTTTACCAATTTTGTTCTTGTTTTGTTTCCAGGATGTGAATAAAATCCATATAAACTAACTAAAATTTTAAGTAATGAACTAATGATCAAACCCTTACCATAAATAGAGAAACATAGGCTCTCAGTGCACATAACACTCGATAAGTCTATTAATGAAACCTACTACTATACTCAGCTCTAATTCTAAATATTACAAATAATTCATATCCTTTTGCTTTAGCCTTTATGTTACAAAATTTTGGAAGATATGATAAATTTGGTTTGGTACTTAATATAGTTATAATATTATATCTAGAGACAGATAAAGAGACATGTAAGTTGTAAGTTGTAACCACTTGCCTTGCCTTGAAGAAGAAAAAATCCATGATATTTTATTCATCTTCGACTTCTGTGTTGTGTCCAATTTTAGAACTTGCACTCTATTTTCATCCATCCAATTTCTCAATTAGAAGACCTGGTTAAGAAAATCATGTTTGACTGCAGCACCATAGTGATTGTTTTTTTTTCTTCATGTCACTGAAGCTTCTTGAAACCCCTGCCAAACAAATTAAAGGAACTAAGTATAAGAAAATTTCGTTGTAAGAAATTTCACAATGCAATGTAGTAGTGCTGTACTGTTGGAAACAGTAATTGATGAAATTATTAAAATTTCAAAACAAACATGCATTATAATGTATTGCAAATGCTATATATATTGAGACATTGGTCAATATATAACACAACACGACAGATCAAATTACCCAAAAAATATCATCTTTACCAGTGCTGCAGAAGTAGTTGCAGGAAATTAAAATGTTCACTAAACATAAACCACCTTAAGGATATGTGATATGCATGTAACCATATATATATCTAGGTATTATGCATAGATGTCACCACACTGTAAATAGGGAAGAGAGGAAGAAGAAAACAAGGTGGTGACAGAAGTATAGAGAGCACAAAAGATTAGAGATGCAGGCGGCTCTTTCTCTAGCTTATCTCCTTCCCTCTCCATCTCTCTCTCTCACTCTTGCAACACATGAGGTGTGATGAATGGTGATATATATGTATGTACTTGCATGTCATCCTTAGTGCTCTCTATCTTCTGTCAACAACCAACATCACTCTCCAACCTATACATGTGTGATATGCAACATCATGACATGTATGTATAGCATGTATATATTTAGTGATATATATATATAGATTATAGGGAGTGTATGAAGTGATACAGGGATAATGGAGAGTAATGTGTGTGTATATAGAGGAGTAAGTTGAGAGAGCTCCTCTCCACAGAATGTACCAAAACGTTGACTCTTTCTACATCTCTACGTACATACCCATTCACACACAAAAATAAAACCCCACAACTCAACACCCAACATAAATTCTTCATTGCTGAATATATGTAAAGTTACTTTCTATTGAATATAGGAGATTTGAGTATAAAAATACTTGCTATTGTTGAATGATTGAATGCATACATAATAATATAACTGGTTAAAAGTTTATGTTTTTTTTTTTTTCTGTTGGCTTACAAACTTAAAGAAAATATCAGAAAAATGGGTATTCTGAAGATGGCATCACTGAACTCATTCGTATAGAGGATGCCAAAAAAGATGAGCCAATCAATGTGGTAATGATCATGTGACGATATGAGATGTGGAAGAGATTTTATTTGACGTGAAAGTTTTGATTGGTAAATGGCTGGCAAAAATCCTAAAACCACCAACCAACCGTACGTCCTCAATGTGGGAGGTGGGTAGGGTTAGGGTACCCCAACACCATTTTTCTTTAACAACTCACATAAAACAATAGGACAAAATATGAGCCTTTCGTGTGTTCCAACCGACAAAACCAAAAATAGTAACTTTTGTAAAAAATGATATCGTGACTTGGTAGTATCAGAACAAATAAATGACCGCACCCGCACGTCTCTAGTGTTGTTGACCAAAACAGTGATCGTCTCTCACTCTCTTGAACATTTTTTCTTTATGCGATGATCAAAGTATATTTCGACAAAGAGTTATTATCTTCTTTTTGGTAAAGAAAAAAGTATGTCATATTTCTTGTGAAAATCGATCAGTACAATTACATTAACATACACGATACATGCATGAAAACGCATGTGATATAGTTCTATAAATATCTTATGTTTGGACTTTTTAGGCAAAAGTACTCTTGAATAACCCTTTTTCTATTTATACTTGAAAAATTTGGAATTTTTAAACATTAGTTACTATCCTTTAGAATTAAAACCAAATTTTGATGATAATAGTAACAGATATATAGATCGTATCGTCATTTTATATCCGTAACTAGAACTCGAGTTAAGGGGAGTAATCAACATTGAAAGCAACATTGAACTAAATGGACTTGACTTAATTGATATTGACCCAAGAAGAGTTAATATATGAAATAGTTCAATGTGGCTCTTTCTTAGTCACAATAAAAAACTAACTTGGTCATAAAAAAAAAAAAAAAAAAAAAACTTATTGTTTGACATTTACAAACACTATATTTAGATGTATAACAGGAAAGGTTTGGCGGATGTAAACAGAGTTATATCAAAGATTGAAGAGAGAAAACGACAGATCACCAAAGTAGGGACTGTGACACGAAGAAGGGAATCAATACTTAGTGTTTTGGGTTATTCATGGGGTTTGTCCTTTTTCTCTTGTAATTTACTTTTTTTTTCTTTCTTCTTCATCAGTTATTCTTAATTCTTGAGGATTAAAAATGTGAAAGTCCATTCATAACAAATCATGGACATGTCTTATGCAATAATGGACTTAGATAACAGTAAGTTGGGTGGAATTTTTTATTTTTTTTGGGGGGAACTAATCTTAGTTTCCCTATTGGAGAAAGAGAAGAAGAGGTCAAAAAATGGAATCATAACAACTTGTTATGCAACATAAACGATCGGATGTCCACAAAGGTGCCTTCATGTCTTGTCAAACCTCCTTGTTTTTCTGAAGCATCAAGGATATCATTAAAATCACCTGAGAGGAACCAAGGATCAGATCTGTTGGTTCCTAGGAGAGTTAATTTTTCCCAAATAACCTTTCTCTTTGCTCTTTCAGGTTCACCATAAAGGAACGTTGCGTAGAAACTCTTTCCTTCTGCCGTAATCCGAGTGTCGATGAAATTGATACAGCTTGTTAGTATAGTAAGATCAATTTCTTGTTTCCAGAAGAGGGCCAGCCCTCCTCCTCCAGGGCTGTGTGGGGAGACTAAATGATGAGCAGGATAGTTAAGCCAGGTTAGGGACTTTAGGACACTGTCATCAGGGTTTTTTGTCTCCATGAGGAACAAGATTTCCGGTGAGATTTTGGAGTGAATCTCACGGATTCGCTGGCCTGTTATGGGGTTCCCCAGCCCACAACAGTTCCAGCTCAGAATCTTTAAGGACGAGGATTTGGTGGATTGTGAAAATCCACCTTTTTCTTTATGATGGCAGGTATGATTGAGATCTTTGGAGTAGCATTACTCGAGGAGGGGTTATGGTTGTCACCAGATAAGTGAAGCCGTTGCTTAGCCTTTGACTTTTGTGATTTCTGCCCCGATCCACAGCTTTCTTCTCGACTGGAATGTCCTCTTTCTGGAGAAGCTTTACTTTTCGGTGAGCTTTGAACTCTGCATTTGTTTCTTTTACTAGTCTTTGCTCCAGCTAATTGTAAGGGACTCTTGTTCTGGTTTTTATGCAAAGGTGGACGTCCCCTTCTTTTCTTGACTGGTGCTTCAATGATTTGAGAACTCGATGGGTGAACCGATAGAGCTTGGGTTTCCTCAGGGGTTGCATCTGGAAGGTAAGGTGGATTTTGCTGGGAGAGATTATTGGAGAAGATGGCAGCCTCAATAATTTGATTTGCTGTTTCCGCTGTGAGTCCTCTTGCTTCGCCTTGGATAACTCTCTGTTTTCTTGCTGCACTTTCAGTCGGATCCGCACAGCTTATATACTGGATGGTTACATCTCTAAGCTCTCCCAAGACTTCTTCATTTGAAGGGATGGGTGGTGGGGGTGGTGGTGTAACTTCCGCTGATAAGATATCTCTCTCCAGGGGAGGTCTTCTTGTTCTAGAAGTTTCTGAGCTATCAAGTACCAAGCTAGGTCTTGATGAATCTCTTTCTTTCCATTGAAAGTTGGGTCTTTGTGGGAGAGAGGATTGTTTGGGGTGATATCTAGAGAGCTCAGCACGATGGGAGTTGAGAGATCTTGAAGGCGATCTTCTGTTGGTATGAAATCTAGTACCAGATTTTTCTCTAGAGAGGTACGAATAATTATTACGGTAGTCATCTTCATGCTTTCTGGAATGTGCATGATAACGATCCAAAGAGGGACTCCCTGGTGATCTTCTGCTTCTAGAGAAAGAGTGGGTTCTTCTATGATTGTCAGTACCAGAATGATAGGCATCCGTCAACTTTGAGGAGGTAGTACCATTCCTGGGAGCTAGAAAATTATCACTTGGTGTGTAATAATTCCTCTTAACCTCACGATTCGCAGGAAAACTTTCAGATGGCTGATCTTTATTTTTTTGGCCCTTCTCTGCTAGAAAGCCTGGGCAGAATTTCCTCTCATGGGAGAGCCTGTGACAGTAAAGGCAGTGACTCTTGAGGTTCTTATAATCTAAGGTCACCACTGCTTCACTTCCATCTTTGAATTCCACAATTGTTTCCTTTATCAAAGGTTGGAGACCGTTGATAAGGACCTTGAGCTTTGCAGAAGAACTGGTAATCTCCATATCTAAAATTTCTCCCAGTTCCTCACCAATAGTTTGTAGCATTTCAGGAAGCCAGAAGTGTTTTGGGAGGCCTTGAACCTCCAGCCAGAAAGGTATCATGGATGGAAAGGTATCAGATATGACGGGTTCCCATTTCTGAAGAATGACCATCCATTGGTCATAGTGGTAAGGTCTGTTGTCTAGCACCTTCTGTAAGTCTTCTTCGAATTCAAATCTGAACTGGAAACAGCCTCTACCAAGATCTGAGCCAGTTGCTTTGCCTCTCAGGTTCCAGCGGTTTGAGAGGAAAGGGAAGAGAGACCATAGACGTTGGGCTGAGGGGTTAGTGAGTCTTCCAATAAGGGTGAGTGAGTTTTCTTCAATCAAGGCTGAAGTATCAAGGTCAGGTGCTCTGATTCTTTTGCAAGGAGGGGGAGTGAAGCCACTATCCATTCCTTTGCCTTTGAGGTGGGATGGAATTCTCTTTTCCATAGTTTAGAGGTTGGGTGGGAGGGTAAACAGATGCAGGGGTTGCAGGGTAGGGTTACTCACACAGAGATGAGATTTTCAACAGGGATTACAGGTTTAACAAGCACAAACAGGGTTAGTCAACAGGAATACGGGGATGAGAGAGTCAAAATACCAGAGATTGCGAGAGGAAGGTAGTTGAACACCGGTAGCATGAAGAGTTGTTGGAGGTGGTTGGTTTTGAAGGAGCTTTGGCACCGGAAAAGATCAAATATCCAGCAGTTCGAGCCATTTATTGTTATAAACCGTTGGATATTACTCTTTTTGGTATTAGAAAGTAGGTGAGATCTGGTTTTTCAAAAGCTCCATTCTGTTTTTAGCTGCCTAGGGCTTCGAGCCTGAGAGCGTTTTTCTCTCACACACGGTTTGTTAAATTTGTTTGATCTCCGCCATTCTGGAAACTTTCTCTCGTGGAGGGGAAAGAGAAATGAACTTGTAGTCCACTGTAGGCTGGATAGAGCTATGTCAAATAGCAGTTGGGCTGAAGTTTACCCTTTTAGTCGTTGTGAATACATGAGATTTGAAGGCTCGGATCATAGACCTCTTCTCACACATTTGGACCTTACAAAAAAGAGGAAAAAAGGCATCTTTAGATATGACAGAAGACTAAAAGACTCTGAAGAGCTAACAAATATCATCAAGTCAGCCTGGACTTTTGACTCAGAAGAAGGAGTGGAGGAAAAGATCTCCAGATGTCGATCTGAGATTATCTCATGGACAAAGCAAAAGTATCAAAACAGCCAGAAACTGATAGAGAAGCTTAAAGAAGAACTTGAGGATACAATGTCAAGCCAGGAGACAAACCAAGACCTTATATCTTCTATCAACATCAGACTTCTACATGCCTACAAAGCAGAAGAAGAATTTTGGAAACAAAGAAGTCGCCAACTATGGCTAACTTTGGGAGATAAGAATACTGGCTACTTTCATGCTATAACGAGAAACAGAGCGGTCATAAACAAATTCTCTGTTATTGAAGATAAAGAAGGCCAACCTATTCACTCAGAAGAAGGCATTCTCCAAGTCATTTCTGACTACTTCTCGGAACTCTTCACTTCAATAGATGGAGATAGAAATACAACTATTCAGACTGCTATTCATCCCTGCATCACCGAGGAGATAAACCAGAAGCTTACTATCCTACCTTCCCCTGAAGAAATCAAAAGGGCTTGCTTCTCCATTCATGCAGACAAAGCCCCCGGTCCAGATGGATTCTCGGCCAGTTTTTTCCAAACCAACTGGGAAACTGTTGGCCCTAATCTCATCATCGAGATACAATCTTTCTTCTCATCTGCCTGCTTACAAACAAGCATCAATAAAACTCATGTCAGGTTGATCCCAAAAACTCGAAGCCCTCAGAAAATGACAGAGTATAGACCTATCGCCTTGTGTACAGTCTTTTACAAAATCATATCTAAACTCCTATCAAGAAGACTGCAACCTGTCTTACAAGCGATCATCTCTGAAAACCAGTCTGCTTTTGTCCCCAAGAGAGCAATATCGGATAATGTCCTTATCACACACGAAGCCCTCCATTACCTCAAAACCTCAAAGGCAAAGAAGATGTGCTTCATGGCTGTTAAAACTGACATGAGCAAAGCATATGATCGTATTGAATGGGATTTCATAAGATTGGTTATGGAGAGAATGGGCTTCCACCCTAAATGGATCAAATGGATTATGCAATGCATCTCCACTGTATCCTACTCATTTCTACTCAATGGAGCAGCACAAGGATCAGTCGTACCTCAACGTGGAATCCGACAAGGAGACCCTCTCTCCCCGTATATCTTCATACTTTGTAGTGAAGTGCTCTCTGGTCTATGCACAAAAGCTCAAATGGATGGAACCTTACCAGGCCTTAGAGTAGCAATGAACAGCCCCAGAATCAACCACTTGTTATTTGCAGACGACACGATGTTCTTCTGTAGGTCAGATGCTCAAAGCTGTAAAACACTGCTACATATCCTCAAGGTGTATGAAACTGCCTCTGGGCAAAAGATAAATAAAGAAAAATCGGCAATAACCTTTTCTTCAAAAACTGGAGAACATATCAAATTACAGGCTCAACGTATTTTAGGAATTCAAAGAGTGGGAGGTCTCGGTAAATACCTGGGCTTGCCTGAGATGTTTGGCCGCAAGAAGAGGGACCTTTTCAACCAGATCATAGACAATATTCGTCAGAGAGCTCTAAGCTGGTCTTCACGGTTCCTATCCATTGCTGGGAAGGCTATCATGCTAAAGTCTGTCTTGGCGGCAATGCCAACGTACACAATGTCATGTTTTAAGCTTCCCGGCTCACTCTGCAACAGAATCCAATCAGCCCTCACCCGTTTCTGGTGGGATTCCTCTGCAGAAAATAAGAAAATGTCATGGATTGCTTGGTCAAAAATGACAAAATCAAAGCGAGATGGAGGATTGGGCTTTAGGGATATCACTGCCTTTAATGATGCACTATTGGCAAAAATTAGCTGGAGACTACTTACAAAACCCTCTTGTCTGCTAGCAAGAATCCTGCTAGGAAAATACTGCCCTTCCAATCCCTTCCTATCCTGCTCAGTCCCTGCTTCTGCTTCTCATGGCTGGAGAGGAATTTGTATAGGGCGTGATCTGATATCATCTCAATTGGGACGAGCAATTGGATCTGGAATTACTACCTCGGTTTGGTATGATCCGTGGATTTCCCTCACATCCCCTGTTGTTCCAATGGGACCGGTTCCTGAGAAAAGCCAAAACCTGAAAGTTTCTGAGCTGATATGCCCCATTTCTAAGGAGTGGGATAAAGCTAAGATATCACTGATCTTACCCCAATATGAACAAGATATTCTCTCCCTTAGACCCAGTAAACTAGGAGCAGAGGATAAATACATCTGGCTCCCAACAAAGACTGGAGAATATAGCGCAAAATCTGGATATCACGAGGCATCAAAGGAAGACTCCACAAATCTCCAACCAATTCCACGGTCAGAAGACTTTAACTGGTTAAAAGAAATTTGGAACATCCGCTGCTCTCCGAAGGTTAAATTTCTTTTATGGAAAGCCATGAGAAATGCCATTCCCTCAGGGAAGAATCTCAAAGATCGTGGAATAAACAGAGAAGCTGTTTGCCCTCACTGCGGCGAGGATGAATCAAACCTGCACCTATTTTTCCACTGCACCTTTGCTAGGAAAATATGGGAGTTAGCACCTCTCAAATCCCCTATTCACCCGACCCTTGTTACCAGTCTCAAAGCCGGGATCGAATTAACCAATAGGCTTTTATGCCTTCCGCCTTTGGGTATCGGCCATGGAAACCTTTCTCCTTGGATCATGTGGATGATCTGGATCAGTCGCAACAAGAAGATTTTTGAGCATAAACAACCAAATAGTGCCGACACACTAACCCAAGCAATTATCCTTGCAAAAGAATGGAATATGGCTCAATCTGATACATCTTCAAACCCAAAACCCCATCTAGATCGAACCCTTCAATTTGTAGATGCTGACTCTATTCGGATCTTCTCAGATGCTGCTTGGAGAGAGGACTCAAAAGAGGCTGGATTTGGTTGGATCTGGATGGACACGGTCACTGGGTTGGAAAGTCACGGAAGCTCTACAGCGACCAATGTTTGCTCCCCTTTAATGGCGGAGTCGATAGCTCTTCTTCTTGCTCTCAAACAAGCTCTCAACCTAGGCTTCCAAAAAGTTATCTTTGCTTCAGATTCGCAACTGCTAATCAAAGCATTAAATGCAGAGCCCTTCTCAAAGGAGCTCTACGGGATTCACCATGATATCCTTCTTCTATCTTTAAATTTTATCGAATGTAATTTTACTTTTGTTAAGAGAGAACAGAACATGAAAGCTGATGGGGTAGCTAAATCGGCTTTATTGTCTCTCTCCTCTGTAACCAACCTTTAATTAATGTCACTCGGGTTTTTGACAAAAAAAAAAAAAAAAAAAACAACTTGTTATGCATGGAAGAGGGATGACTTTAAAGAGTGTTAGACAATAGAATTAAATAAGTGGGGAAGAGTACTATACTGATGAGATAATCATTAATTTAATAATTGAAATGGAATTTTCATTGCAGAGTGGCACATGTGGTAGATAATAAGCTAGAGAGATATTGAAATTGAGACAGAGAGAGATCAGTACCACTCTTGATTTAAAGCTGAAACTTTGGTGTGCCCCATATTGTTCATTACAAAACCATTTATGTCTCTTATTGTATAGTGTAAGAAAACTGTATGTAGACCATCGAAATTGAAATTTAGATTTTTGTGTACATTTAAAAATTCTTATCATTATGACTCGAGAGTCGTCGTTTCTCTGAATATGTTTTTGTCTTCTTTGATGCTTTTGTTTTTTTTAGGATAGCATTTTTAATAACTAAAGAGTACTATATATATGCATGTGTATATGTATTCATGAAAACAATAATACCACCACGACTCCATAGTCTTTGCATTACAACCATCTAAGAAGCAATATGGATGGTGGGTGCGTTTCTACGACTAATTTTGTACTCCATTACCTACGTACTCTCTATAGTGAGCACGAGTTAGTCATTTCTTTATATAGTCCCATCACATTATAACTCATTTTTTTCATATACTGTATATATATGAGCCATGCGGAATTTTCTAACAAATATATGTTTGTGGAGGGAAGCATCTTATTGTGGTTCATTATTTACAATACCTCTTTAGCAATTAGCATTAGAAGAAGCATGGGCTTAGAACCTTGCTTACAATAGATATTTATTGGACCTATTAATTATTTAGATAATCAATTAATTGGTCGCAGGCACTTGCTTGATATACATGCAACACAGGGTTTGGGTGACTGAATGCTTCGAATAAGTTTTTCTTCATCGGTTGCACTTGTTTGGATACTACTTTGGTTGAATATTCAACATTGTTGTTCTCTTTTAGCTTTACGTACAATTTGCTCGACCAATATATATATATGTTGGTTGATGTTTTCGATTGTTCGGCTCCTTATGGGCATGTTGTATTATATCATCCTTAGTGATGAATGATGAATGATGAATGAATGACTAGTTTGTCCCAAAAGGAAAAAAACCGGTCTAAATATTTTTTCAATGGTTAGGGTTTCGTTATCAATTAATTATGATGTCAAAAAAAAAAAAAAACAGATTATATGGTTCTACTTCTAAATCGAAATTTTAACCGATTAACCAAAAAATTAATATCCAATATCAGTAAGAAAACCAAAAACGTCCAAAGTATCATAACTGTTTTCGAAACGAAAGAAACCAAAAAGAAAAAAAAAATAAGAAAAATTGCGTTAAACAAATCATCTCTCATCTCATCCCCAAATTCATCCCATCCATTCACCGTTTCAAAAGGAGATTAAGGAATTGAATATATAATAATTTCAAATTGTAACAGTGGTATAATATATTAATTAGGGTTTGTTTAATCCTCGATCTGTGATCTTATTGATCTCGCCGTTTCACCCAGCAGGTATCTTTGTTTTTTTATCCCACAATCTCTCCATGTCGTCTTATTGTTAATGCATACATGTTTGTATGATCAATACTATTGTTTTTTGGCCTTTTCTATAATTGTTTTATCTTCGATTAATCCCTAGAAAACGAAAAGTGATGTATTGATTTTTTGGAAACAAATCGTTACTGTGATTTATGATTACGAACATGAGACAATATAAATGACCCCTTAGTATAGATTTTATCTAGATAGAACGTTTGCATAACAATATTAAAGTTTTTGACTCTTAAAAACATAGAATATGTACAACGTAGATGTAACAATGAAGCTTTTATTTTCAGGTTAATTTACTTAGCCTGAGAGATGGCTAAGATAATGCTAGGATCTCACTCGGTGAAGAGCCATGGATGGAAGGTGGCTCGAGAACATCTTTGTGACTGGCTTATTCTCGTAGTCCTTGGTCTCATTGACATTGTACTCAATGTTATCGAACCTTTCCATCGCTACATCGGACCAGACATGTTAGCTGATCTCACTTTCCCATTTTCTAAAGACACCATCCCTATGTGGGCTGTCCCGGTAAGTTAACTTGTTTCCCAACAAACGTATACCTTCATTGTGCCTTCCATCACAAGGAAGCATTGGAATGGTCACTGATTGATGATTTATATGTATGGTGTATGTGTGTGTAGATTATTTGTATATTTGTTCCTATATGCATCTTCACAGTGTACTATTACTTTCGAAGAGATGTGTATGATCTTCATCACGCCATTCTCGGTGAGTTGTTATATAATTTCTCTACTCCTGTCCATCCTCAAATGTACTACTTCAGTCATTTACTTAGAATTTTGAACCAGCGTGATAAGAATATTTGTGAAATTGCGTATAGGTATCGGATTCGCATGTCTTGTGACTGGAGTCACCACTGATTCCATCAAAGATGCGGTCGGTAGGCCAAGACCAAACTTCTTTTACCGGTGTTTCCCTAATGGTAAACCGGTATGTACATTTCTATGGATCCATCTCACTGACCTTATAATCAACATTGATTTTCCCGGTTTAATCATTTTATCACGAGGGAATTGTTTCTTAGTTTGTGAAAATCTGAAAGAAATGCAGAAATTTCACCCGGATACTAAGGATGTTGTGTGTCATGGAGTTAAAAAGATCATCAAAGAAGGTTACAAGAGTTTCCCTAGTGGTCACACTTCGTGTAAGTTCTTCTAATAAAAGTTAGTGGCATATGAATTGAATTCGGTTTAATTAAACCGGTTGATTACGTGGTATATATGCAGGGTCGTTCGCTGGTTTAACATTCTTAGCGTGGTACTTATCGGGTAAAATCAAAGTATTTGACAGAAGAGGACATGTGGCTAAGCTATGCCTCGTGTTCTTACCGATACTAGTAGCAATTCTCATCGGAATATCACGCATCGACGACTATTGGCACCATTGGACCGACGTCTTCGTCGGAGCTATCATTGGAATCTTCGTCGCGTCTTTCTCTTACCTCCACTTTTTTCCTTACCCCCACGACAATAACGGTATGAAACCAAACAAAACAGTGTTGCAATCATGTATTCATGTTATTATTGCTTTGTTGTTGATAGTAACGGTTACTGATGTCATATATTATATAACAGGATGGGCACCACATGCGTATTTTAGAATGCTGGCGGAGAAGAGTACTGGTCGAGACACCACGACGATGACTCGAACTGGTTCTCGAGGGATGTTGGACAATGACGTCGAGCATGGCGTCTCAACATCCTCGCCTCACGATCGCCACCGTGAAAGCACTGATTCTGAATTTTGAAATTCCCTCCTCAATGCAGTTAAAATACGTGTAATTGTATGATTGTGTTTCACTATAACTGATACATTGTATTGTTAAACCAAGAAGAAGAAGAAAAAAAACTGATGATATTATTCATAATGTTCATTGTGCTTGTTTCAATGTTCCTTCGCTTAACATGTATACATTTCAATAAACGTATAGTAGATACTATATTTATATGTTTCTAGGTTGCGTTGCCAATATCTTAACTCTAAAACCAAAAAAAAAAAAAGTTTCTAGGCTGACATATTGTTGTTATTTGTTAACAATGTCAAGAAAAAGTTTGGTTTGGTTCAAATTGGTTTACTTCTGTTCCTCAATTTCTGCATTGGATCCGTATCAATTAAGCAAAGTGACTCTTCGTTCTATTTTTTATATATATATTTTGAAGCCGATTGTGTATGATTCTATGGCCAATCAAAGGTAAACAGTGTTAAAATGTCTATTAGTATGAAAGAAATATCTTATGAGTTATGAGAAGAGTGATTGAAACGTTTCAGGTATGTCCATGATTGTGGCAATTTGGTAAGAGGTTTCAACAAGTTACGTGAAAATCTTGAGTGGAGGAAAGAAACCTTTGGAAACGAACGATGTAACGTCCGGTTGAAGTAAACCGGACACGGTAACCGAAAATTATCCACATGGGTTTTGGTTTGATTTTCCCATCACGGTCCAGATTCATCCACCTTCTTCGGGATCCACTTTACTTTCATCTCAACAGTGATGAACCAGCCAGCCTTGTTACAAGAAAAACAAATTGCAATATCAAAGCTGTAAAATGTTGGAACTCGTAAAGAATTTAACCATCTCAAAAAGGACACAAAAAAAACAATTACTATATAGTTAAACATTCTACAGCAAATTAAAATAATGCAATACTATATAGTAGTAGTACACAGCTTTCGAAAACACAAAAATCAACAATATTTCTGATACAAATACAATTAGATGTTACAATTCTTTATTTATTTACCAGTTGTCGACAAAACTTTCATCTTCTATTTTATCCAAATATTAGCAAAATTAGTTATGACACGTGTCAACATCTTATCGTTTATAATTGACACGTGTCACGATCTTGTTAATGACTGACTTTGAAAACCAAGGTTTATATAATAAGATATCTAATCATGTTTTGTTTTTTTATGAGAAATAATTCAGATAATGTTTGTTTTCGAATTATATGTAACTAAATATAATTTTAATATATGTAAAATTTCATATAATCGTCCAAAAGTAGATTATACAAGTCATGGCAACCACAAACTTTCATTTATTTGTTTTCAATTAGATTAAATCATAAAAATATAATCCATTTATTATTGAGAATTTTTGAGAAATACCTCTTTTGGTGTACCCCTTTTTAAAAATACTTCTCTTTTCTATTTATTTTCAAAAATACCCCTTTTCAAATATGTATAATTATAAATTTTTTTTTTATATAAGATTAAAAAAAACAGAGAAACCAAATCTTAAACTTTCAGAAGAAAAAAACTTTAATTTATAGATACGCGCAAAACAGCTTTAGAGGTACTTTTTGTTGTCATTACGTTAATATTAAATTAATAATTATACGAAGTTGATGATCGTACCAAATTTTATAAAAATATAAATTACCTGGCGATGATTCATCTCTGTAATTTCTCCAGCTCACTCTGCAGAGAATCTAAACGCTTCATCCCTTTTTCCTTTTTTTTTTTTTTTAATACAAAACAAAATAAAAATAAAATTTACTTTTCGTATTAAAAATCCATATCTGATTAATACGAAATATCAATATATAAATCAATCCAAACTAACCTATCCCGTCGTTATCGAACCCCATGGAGACCCCACTCCCTTCTTTATCGCAACTAACCCCAATTCCTACTTCCGCCGCCGCCGTCTCTTCCGCTATTCCGGCCGCAGTCAAGACCGTTTCCGTTCAACAACCCATCGATGGATCTCCACGCGCCGTCTCTGTCGATACCGGGGGTAATCCGGAGCCGCTTGCGGCTGTTCCTGGAGCTAAGCTTCGTCTCATGTGCAGCTTTGGTGGCCATATCATGCCTCGTCCGCATGACAAGTCCTTGACGTATTCCGGCGGAGAGACTCGTCTTGTTGTTGTTGATCGACGCGCGTCGCTTTCTTCCCTCCGATCTCGTCTCTCTACTATGCTTCTCAACGGCCGGTCCTTCACTCTCAAGTACCAGCTCCCTAGCGAAGATCTCGATTCACTCGTCACCATCACTACCGATGAAGATCTGGAGAATATGATCGAGGAGTACGATCGCGCCACTTCCTCAGCGACGGCGACTGCTACGCAACGGATCCGGTTGTTTCTTTTCGCTAACAAGCTCGAGACCGCCGCTACTATGGGACCTCTGCTTGATGGCGCGAAATCTAACACTTGGTTCGTCGATGCTCTCAATCAATCTGGCTTGCTTCCTCGGGGTTTGTCGGATTCCGCCACTGTTAATAACACCTTGGTAAATCTAGATGAGGCTAGCGGCGGAGAGGCCGAGATCCGAAACCTAGAAACTAATGCTGCCGCTGGCGAGAACAATAAACGAGGGGAGTTTGTTCCAAACGGTGTGATTTCGCATCAGGAGATGCATATGAGCTCGATGCCTGACTCGCCAATGATGGAAGCCGCTGGTTCTTCGATAGGATCTTCATCTTCTTCTCCTTCTACTTCCAATTTGCCACCGATTCGCGTTAGAGTCAGCGAAGACCAGAGGATTGAGGAACAATTGGCACAGATGACCTTCTCAAACATGCAAACTCAGAGGCAATTTGATGATGGCATTAGCTTGATTGCAACTCGCCCAATGATGATTCCGTCCGGTGCCATGACCGATGCTAATACAATGGCGTATAACAACGCACCTGGTGATGGTGTTCCTCCCGCAAGCAATGGCCAGGTCTCACCGGATGACGATCGATCCGATTCAGGTGTATCAACTGGCTACAGGAAGCCACCTTTGCCGATGCAGTCAGTATCAATCCCACCGAGAACTGTCGGAGGGTATAGCTTGACTTCTCCTGATTCCGTTGCAAGGTACTTTTAATTTCTACCACTTCTACTCATGACTACACACACATTGTTCTGAAAGGAATCTCTCTAGTTACTTAGATAGATACAATCATCTAAGGTTCTAGGTTTCTCCATCATTTCTTCAGCTTGCTTTGAATTGGTTGTTTCCTTTGAACTGTGTCTATTTTATGATCTTTACCTGTCGTTCTTTTACACTCTGACAGTAGCTAAAAGTGATGGATCACTGGTTTGATGTATGGTATGTGAATTAGCTGTGGAGAGACCATCTTGTTGAATGCATAAAAACCATTTATGATCTTTGTCCACATCTGTGTTTTATAGTGTACATTTAGGGATATTTTTTCCAGTTTGTAGTACTAGCCTATACTTGAGCTTCACATTGGTTTATGGCGTTACTAGTAATGTTAGCTTTGTTTATGAGTCTGATGATTCTAAATGCTGACGTCTCCCTGTTTTTATGCATACAGTGATACTAGCATTTCTTCTGCTACTTCATTTTCAAAGCCAATGTACTACCAAGACCAACCTCCAGCTCTACCAAGAGCTCCTCCATTGACACAGCCTGAAACCACCTCGGTCCAAAGCTCCCATGTCTTACCTCAGACTGAAACCACTTCACCCCAAACCACCTCCCACGTCCTGTCTCAGCCAGGCACGTATACAACTATGGATCAACAACAACACCAACACCAACCTCCGGCTCAACAACCTTTCTTACACCAAGGCGTTCAGTACATCCCTCACCCATCTCAATACATCCCAGTTTACTCTCATCAGCAGCAACAAAACTACCCTGTTTACGTGATGTCTGTCCCGCAATCTCAGCAGTATGTCCCAGCAGGAACTCCCCCGCTCTACCCGAATTCAAAACCTGGGGTGAACTCGAGACCTGAAGCTGCCCAGAATGTTTACCGTGCCACTCCCACTCAGGTTCTTCAGCTTCAGCAGCAGCATCAATACATGGGTTACAGTGGAGTTCCTCAGCATACTACAAACACAAGCGCCACCTATGGTACTGGAGTTCCTCAACATACCTCAAACGCAAATGCAAACACAAATTACAGTATTGGAGCTCCTCAACATAGCACAAACGCAAACGGCAATTATGGTGGGGGCTACGAATACACAAACCCTCCAAACGAGACAGTGTATTACCACACACGGCCTCCTGCGGCCAACACTGGTATTCCCTTAGCGTCTCCGTACCAAAGCATGACACCAGCCGCAGCAGCAGCCGCTCTAGCTGATATGTCCAAGCAGATGGCTCTTGACGGCAGTAAACAGCAACAACATATGGCTGCGTCTCAGCCGCTTTAGAAGCTGGATCTTTTGGTAATAAAGGCGCCAAGTGTGACTGTATAGCCCAATTACACTTCGCGCTTCTGGTCTTTTTGCTTATTACATGTAACGTCGTGTTGCTATCTCCTTAGATATATATACTACATAGGCTTTGCTATATCGTTTTCTAAAGTTGGTATCTTAGTTATACTATTACTTATTATGTCTCTATATCTTTTTCTATATTTGGAAAATAAAAATTGTTTGGATGATTATTCTAATTAGTATAATGGACTAAGATTTGAAGGCTTTGTTTTATGTTTCTCTGCGACTTCTTCAAACGGAATAGATGCTGCGCCATGATCAATCATCCAACTCTGCGAAATCCCGCATTATCGCAGGTGTGGGCGTGCCGTAATAACATTGACAAAGGACAAAAGGAAGCCTTGTCATGTCAAAAATCTTATATCATTGTCTAAAAGGAACTGTGCTCCTCTCCTCTGTTTAAGACCAAAGTCATGTCAGAGACTCATCTGAAATCCGTTTGGTGCATAGTCAAAAATGTTTTCACCGATTAAAACCCTTGTCTATAGAACCAGAAGTTAAGCTTCCTTCTCATGTGCTTGGAGATGCTTGAAAAAATGAGACGCAATCTGGATACACAAAAAAAAATAATAATGTAAAATTATGAACAAGTTGAAAAAACTTCAATAAAAAACATGTTAGATGATTTTTCTTAGTTTACTATATTGGGTGTTGTAAAATGAAGACTGGCACTACAAAGTACAAACTATTTGATTTTTTTTTTATTGTTTTTTTTTATTATTATTGTAAATAGAGTGTGATTTAAAAAAATTAAAAATCATGTTTTGTTGGGTTTAAAATTGAAAAAAAAAAAAAGTGAAAAAATGAGATGATTACAAACCAGACTTTAAAAATGTGTTAACAGCAGCAAGCGTTAAAATAAGCTTCCCTTTTTTTCTACTTGGGATTACGAACCCCTAAAACCCTAAATCTTCGATCCGCCATGAGAGGAGCTCTCTTCAGAAATGCATCTCTCTGCGCTCGCAGAATCATCCTTTCTCCTCGGATAACTCATCGAAGCTCCCCCAATGTTCCCTTCCTCGCTCCAATCGCTGCTCCGGTTTCTCTCAAATTCAGATTTTTCTCCTCCGAATCCGACACGTCCGGTGAGAGCACGACTACTGCTTCCGAGCCTTCTTCGGTAGATTCATCCGTTAAGAATGATCTTGTTGTTGAGGATGTAAGCAACAAAGGTAAACACTCTATCCGCTCTTTAAAGCTACCCCGAAGTTGAAATGGTGTTCATTTTGCTGCTTAGTGTTAGTTGAAATGGATAGTTTTATTCTCATCTGGATACCAGAAAGTTTTCAATTGATCCTTCGATCTAAGATTTGGAGTCTCTTTCTATGCAGTCTCTCCATGAAATTACTTTATATCCCTGTTGTTCTTATCATGGTTTTTTATGAACTAGCATAACCTCTGTAGGTAATTATTTGAAACTGGAGTATGTGGTTAAGTCCTAATGTACTTCATGTATTGGTGGTTGTGTTATCAGAGCTCAAATCCCGTATAGAGAAGTATTTCAATGAGGGTAATGAAGATGCTTTGCCCGGAGTTATTGAAGCACTTCTGCAGAGAAGACTTGTAGACAAACACGCAGAGACAGATGATGAATTGATGGAAAAACTCGAGAGTCTGCCTTTCAAAGATGATGTGAAGGATGAAGATTTTGAATCTGATTTCGAGGAAGCACATTCCACTGACGAAGAACTCGAGGATTTGTACAACTCTCCAGAATATGTAGCAGAAAAAATGAGGAAGGATGAATTTTTCAACATGGACGATAAGAAGTGGGATGACATGATTAGAGAAGGTATCCAACATGGGTGTCTTATGGATACTAAGGAATGTGAGGAAATTCTTGAGGATATGCTCAAATGGGACCAGCTTCTTCCTGGTAATGCTGTTTTATTTTCAAATTCTTCTCCCCGTTCATTGACTCACATCCCTTAGACATAGATATCTTTGAATACCTACTAGGAGCGTTTGAGGTATTCCATCTTCAGAGATTAGGTTGATTAGTAGACTGATGTGCGTCGTTATAGCTAAAGACACTCTCTTAGCGGAACTTAGCTTTTGTACTTGACCCTTCTATTTGGATTTTGCGGAATCCTGGTAGGTGTACCGTTCTTTTTAACTCTTTGAAGGTGATGTACTATGCGATTCGTTGCTTGTCAGATCAGCAGGGTCGTTTAATGAACATATTGGTTTGTTCCAGTGATGCGTATATATGAACATTAGGGACATCCTCTAACTGTATTTTCATTCAGATGACTTGAAGAAAAAAGTGGAAGCAAAGTTTAATGAGCTTGGAGATATGTGTGAAAGAGGTGAACTTGAGCCCGAAGCTGCTTATGAGCTTTTCAAGGAATTTGAAGATGAGATGGTAATTCAGTATGGGAATCAAATGGAAGCCGAGGGTCCTCCCAAATTTGGTGAAACGGATGCATCTGATAGGAACACCGATTTGGATGATCCCCCCGGTAAAGGCCCAATCCTCAGGTGGCAATCAAGGATAGTTTTTGCTCCAGGAGGCGATGCGTGGCATCCAAAGAACAGGAAAGTTAAAATGTCTGTTACAGTGAAAGAGCTCGGGCTCTCAAAGCATCAGGCTCGAAGGCTAAGGGAACTTGTGGGGAAAAGATACCATTCGGGGAAGGACGAGCTTACAATCACCAGTGAGAGGTAGATATCTATAAAACTTAAGCTTTTTTTGCGAGACAAGAATGTTGAATCATGAAATGTTTTTTGTCCTGTCACAGGTTTGAACACCGAGAGGAAAACAGGAAAGACTGCTTGAGAACTCTTTATGGGTTGATAGAGGAAGCTGCGAAAGCGAACAAGATCGCTGAGGACATAAGAACTTCATATGTAAAACAGAGACTCCAAGCCAATCCAGCTTTTATGGAGAAACTACAAGCCAAGATCATAAGGTCTAAAGAATAAGATGCCATCAGCGCCTGATAATTTTTTTCCTGTTTAGCGCCTCCATTCTTGTCTCACCAAATAATCTTCAGGATCGTCTCTTTTTGGCGATCAATTGCTCTGGTACGGGTTTGGAAAATCGATGAAGAAACCTTTGATGGTAACTCCTATTTTAGTTTATCTCATGAAGACATGAACCTTGGTTGTGCTTGTTGGTGTCTATTAGGGCCATGAAGACTAGTCAACGCTTTCTTAGAATTATGAATCTCTTCCAAGATTAAGGTTTCGGTTTGGGATTCGGATACGTTTACTCTGGTTCAGGATGAAAGCGACAAAGAAAAAATAATATTTTGTACGAATTAAATTGGTACAATTTTTGTTTGAGTTTTTCATTAGATGTCTTTCTGATATTTAAAGAAAATTTTAATCGTTGGCTCAGACCTTTATACAATTTGCCTTGTCCATCAAATTAACATTTTAACTGAAAATGAAAATGGGAAGAAATAGTATAATTTTTTTTCATATACTATACAATAATAGCTATACAATCTATTATTACACTTACTAAAGAAAAAGGATGTACTGTATATATAACACGATAATACGAAAGTAAATGGTCGAATGTTGTGTGTGTTCTTTCCCGACGAAGACGAATGAAATCTCAACCTCCACAACCACCGCAACCGCCACCCCCACAACCTCCGCCACCGGTAGTGTTTGCCGAAGAGCGTCGGTTGTCGGAAACTCCGTCGGAGCAGGAGAATAACATAGCCGAGAGGACACAACAGCCGATGAGAGCCAAGAACACAACATGAAAGAGGTAGCTAGCATCGAAATGTGTTGTAGTAGCCATGCTCATTACACCTTCTAAGTGTCTCGCCATATCTCTCTTTTCTTCAAGTAAATGTGGATGATGAGGTCAAGTTGTTTTAACGTGAAAAGCTTTCCTTCTTATAGCCGATAAATTCGTACGTAAGGCCATTGACTTTTCATAAAATTATTCCTTGATTACTAAGGTTAATTTTCTTCTATATAACATACTGCAATACCAAGTCACCCATTTTTAGTCTACTATTCTATCCTCTTCACCCATATTGATAAGTTACATACATTTTTTTTTTTTTTTTTTTTGATAAGTTACATGGATAGTTATAATTTAGGTAGTTTCGAGGAAATTTGGTTGAAATTAAGGGTTTTCTTGACCATTCTAAGTTCTAAACTAGGGTGTACAATAGTCAACTACCGTAATATATTGTATATATACATACATCAGCTTGATTTGCCTTTTTTCTTTTATAATATTTTTGTTTTTGTTTTTAGTGGTTAATTTCTTTTAAGTGATCGTTGTTGTTCATGACACTTGTTAAATCCAAAATACACAAGAAAATTATTGTTGTTGATAATCTTAGGTAGTAAACAAATACAAGAGAAGAAAAGTAAAATAAAATTAACGGGTTTGGCATGAGGAGATATATAAAAGCCCTTTCTTCTATTTCACGTGGACTCCAATTTTATTGTTTGTACAAATTTGACTAATACAAAACCAAATTCTTTTCTTTTTTCTTTTGTCGTGAATATCAAATTCTTATCAAAGGACTGATCAAAATGTTCTTCACCCTTTTTTTTTTTTTTTCTTTTTCATGTTGGCATCTTCATCTACTACCACTAACCCAAATTAATTCATAAATGGATCATATATATCTATATGTTATTCCGTTATCTATCACGTTGAAAATTTTGTTCCATTTTTTATTTTTTTAAAAAGTGTATTGAATGCAATAGACTCTTCAAAACGTGTAATTCTATGCCAGATTTTTCTATATAAAGTGTTTTATTCTCTTTTCTTTATCAGCAATATATAAATCGTGATATAGATATTTTTACGTATACATCAAACTGCCAAAAAAATACCAAACTAAATCATTTTTTTTATCAAAAGATATCAAACTTTTTGATATTATAAGTACCTAATTTTCTAACAAAAATACCACATCCCTTGTTTTGATGTAAACATTGTTAACTAGCTAGGTTTGAGCTTTAATTTTTGGGTATACAGTTAACTTTGTTCTGGTTTTCAGATTTCGGAAAGATGAAAGTTCCTATATAAAAATGAAGATATACTAGTCGATGTCAAGTGAGAAATTAAGGCTTTTTAATAAATTTTGAATTTTGAATTACAATTTGAGGGGTTTATAGGTTAAAATATAGTACAAAAGTCTAACTTCTAAATCATTATCAACTTTTTGTTGTCTAAATAAGAAAGTATCTCTTTGATAATTTTGGAGAAAGCTTTGTATCTATTTTTAAAAGGTTTGGTATTGTTGGATAGAAAAACGAAAATTTTGGTTTTTTTATTATTTATCTATCCATATAATATAAAAGGACAAACGTATTTTGATATTTTCCGACTAATTTTGATATTTTCAGTTTACTATTAAAACCATTATTTAGTTTGGTTTTGGATTTTGGGAATATAACAAAAATATAGTAATAAATAAGCAAAAAATTTAAAACATTATTTAGTTTGGTTTTAGATTTTGGGAATATACCAAAAGATAATAATAATTAAGATATAGGTATGAATTAACATTATTATATTAAAAAGGGGGTTTTTAGCCTTTTAGGAATGTAGCTACTAGCTAGGCTTGATTCTCATATACATATATTGCATTGTAAATTTGTAACCATTTTTCATAAACAAATCATAAATTATTTCTTGATACATTGATTTATTAAATAAGACAAGAATATAGAGGAAGTCTTAGCTTTTAGAACCGTATGAATTCTTTCCATGAAGACTATAAATACACAAAAGAACCTACCGATACTCAATGCATCAAGCTTTTGTGATGGCTCATCATATCAATGGCGTTGAACAGGCACAAGTTGAAGAGGTAATTTCTTGATAATGGTGAGATTACCAGCTTCTCCCATATCAATGTCTTCTCCACTTATCATTCCTTCAGGCAATCTCCAATCGAAGAAGTAAAGCAAGTTCAATAGTGCAAGTTCCACAGTAGCAACCGCCATAGGCATCCCAGGACAAACCCTCCTACCAGAGCCAAACGGTAAGAGCTCAAAGTTTTGTCCCCTGAAATCTACGCAAGTATTAGTAAACCTCTCAGGAATAAAATCTTCAGGATCGGTCCAGCGGTCGGGGTCACGTCCAATAGTCCATACGTTAAGTTGGATATGCGTTTTGGGAGGAATATCGTAGCCTTGGATCTTGACGTGAGACATTGTTTCTCTTGGGAGCAAAAAGGGAAGTGCTGGGTGTAATCTAAATGTTTCCTTGATTATGAGCTTCAAATAATCAACTTTGTCAATGTCTTCTTCAGTGATTCTATCTCTTTTGAGCCCGAGGGTGTTTCGGATCTCTTCTTGTGCTTTCTTCATCACTCTAGGGTTTCTAGCAAGCTCTGTCATTGCCCAAATCATGGTTATTGCGCCTGTATCTACCCCCGCTAGAAATATATCCTGATCAACAAGACATAAGCACTTAAAACAAATGTTACATAACGCACAGAAATGAAACCAAAGAGATCTTCATTGTTTTAAAACACCAACTTTTGAGTTTGCATGACAAAATAACTCACGTCTTTGAAAAAAAGAAATTAGAAATGCATACGCCAACGCCAATTCCAAACATATATGATTTTCCAACTTTACCATATATGTTTAGGGTTAGCAAGTTTTTTACATATGATGTGGACCTTTACAGTTAAGGTTTTGTTTGAAAAACTATACCTACTATAACACAATAAGTAAAATCTAACGCAATCTAATTAACTATATGGTGAACCAACTACCAAGTGGTTTTGGAAGAAAAAAAAGAATATAAATATGAAGCATGAGTAGAGAGCTCTTACCATGAGGACTCCCTTGATATTATCAATGTTGAGCTTGAAATAATTTTTATATTCTTGTTTATCCATCAAATCCAACAAGAGAGCAACAATATCCGCAGTAGAATCCACAGTTGTCTTTCCTGCTAAGTGATCATCAATCACATGTTGGTAAAAAGCGTCAAGCTCTTCAAACACTTTGTTTATCTTCTTGTGTCCTCCAAACAACCAATCTAGGAATCTCCCAATGCCCCCGGGGAACAAATCAGAGCAAGTGAAACTACCTAGAGCTAACAAGGCCTCATTCACAAGCTCTTCTATTCTCTCCTGTTCGATTACGAAATCACTCTCGTTGAAGTTCTGTCCCAAGGCTACTCTACAAATGATGCTTGCGGTTAGGGAGAAGAAGGTTTTGCTTAGATCCACAGGAGATTGACTCAAAGCTGATTGGAACACTTTCTTCACCATGAAATCAACTTCTTCCTCTCTGATATTCCTAAAAGAGTGTACCCTTTTAAGGCTGAAAAGCTCGATAACAGCGAGCTTTCGCATTTCTCGCCAATATCGCCGTACTCCGCGAAGCTGATGTCTTTAAAGCCGTAGGAGAGTTTACCCGTAGCAACCGTTCTTGGTCGGCTGCAGCATCCAAGGTCATGGGTTTTGAGAACTTCTTCAGCTGCTTCACTCGAGGAAATGACAACCATGGGAACAAACCCTAGGCGAAGAAACACCACAGGTCCGTATATGATGGAGAGATGGTGAAAGCATCGGTGAGGCAATCCGGCGAATTGGTGTAAGTTTCCGATGATGGGAAGACTTGGAGGACACGGAGGAAGATTCCATTTTGGGGTTTCTCTAAGCTTTCTCATCATGAAACAGATTAGTGGCACAAAAGCAAGAAGCAATGAAGCAAAGAGAAAGATATCCATTTTCTTCTCTTTTCCTCTGTTTCTTGAGGGGTGAGCTCAGTTTTAGTCTTTGTACTCTTATTTATAAGACAAGTGAAAACAGTTGATCATGTAAAAACTTACTAAAACAAGTGGACGAAATTAGTAGAGACATAAAATAAGTCACTTTTTTTGTCGGGTTTGCTATAGCACATGTAATACGAATGTGTCCAATCGAAATAGATCAGATTCGTCCATCTTACGTTAACCGACTTTGTTTGTGTGGCTTACAAACAAAACAAAACAAAACAAAAACTAGTTTGGATTTTAGTTTGATGGTTTTTTTTATTATTATTATTATTGTAAATTTGTAATCACATCTAAGTTTACAGAATACAACATAACATGTGATTTACTAAGAAGATGTAAAGTGGATAGTAAAAGATATGTATATTAAGTTGGGTTGAAATTACATAGTAAATACAGCAATATGTGATAATATCTCTCTATAATGAAGTAAACAAAGGAAAGAAGAATCAATTAAGTAAGTTTCTTGTTCTTGACAGTTCCCCTTGGGATTTTGCTAAGAACACTCGAGTCGAGTTTCCTGTACAGCCTCCTCATCTTCCTCATCAACTTACCGGCCACTCTATCAACGTCATCCTCGTACATCTCATACATAACCGGCAACGTTTGCATGCTTACGAACCCTGAACGGCACGACGTCCATATTAATTTGAATCTACATTTATAGTTGATGAGTATAACTTAAATTTAATTCTCTATACCTATGAAGAGAAGATTCACAAAGTTGAAATATGTCCCGATGATGGATAAGATATAAAGTGAGATCGTTGTCTGTAAAAATATTGTAACCAGTTATTTAGAAGAAATTAAAATAATAATTAATCCCAAAATGTACAAGTTTAGAGAGAAATGATTCAATAGATAACTTACGAGAAAAAAGAGTGGAGGATCTCTTCCACAAGCAATGTCAAGAAGCTTCGTGAGGGTTTGGTTGAATCTAACATGGAAGCTTGTTGCTAAATGTGTGAAAGAAGATTCGTCTAGTACCACTTCTGGTATTATTGGCCTTTCCCTGCATTGTATGATCATTGATTGAGAAATCTTCGAATCAAGAGATATCAGATAAAAGATTGATTGATTAAAAGATACAAATATATATATATATATATATATATATACCAATTGAGAAAATCAGAAGCAGTGGACCAAATGAAGAAAAGAAGCATGGAGGTCATGGAAGCATGACAAACTAAGGTTATGAAATTGTATTGAACTACTTCCATTAAGAACCATAAGAGGCTCACTCCTATCACCAATGTTGCAGCTAGTTTTGGCTCTCTCCATAACAAAATATCTGCAACTGTTATCACAAAGTACTAACTGTTTTATTATTTCCACAGACAGGGCTGATACAACAAAGTTTTAGAATAAGGAGGAGAGAGAGATCTAAATACCTTTACCAGCACCAAATATAGAGTGAATTGATCTTTGACGAGTGAAGAGCTTTGTTGTGTTATGGTAAGTTCTTTCGTCTTCAGAATCGGAAGATCCCGAATATATCGGCATGAATGAAAGTTTTTGTAAGAGAAAAAATGAATGCGGTAATTAGAAAGAGCTAAATATGATGAAAGATGGATACTATGTAAAAACTGTTGCTTTGGATTAGGAGAAAATGGGACAGTTGCAACAAATATAAGAAGAAAAGAGAGAGAGTTACGTTAGATAGAGAGGTTCTAGGCTTGGTAACAAAGGTAAACAAACACATAGTCAAGAAGCAAAGAATGGGAATGGTTTTGGCCTTGTTCCTTCCTCCCTTTTTGTTTCTTCTTCTTCATGTCTCTCTCTCTAATTAAACAATGATCATCTTTGCATTTCTTATTATAACTTACTTCTTCTTTTTTTTTCCCATGTTATTTTTTGGTGTGTAAATTTTCTGATTTTTGTTTGAACACATATACAAAAATAAATGGTCTTTTTTTTTTTTTTTTTACAGAATGTTTTTGTGGACGAGGGAATTAATAAAATTATTTATGATAATTGAAAGTGATATAAGAAATTCAAAAGCGAGAGACTATTTAAACCCTAAATTAGTTCTAAATCCTAAAACCCGCAAAAATGTTTTCGATAGTATCTTCTTCTTCTTCACTCGTCAATTCAAGTTCAACCCTTTTCCACAATTCGTCGAAATCTCCGATCCGTGTTATGTCGGCGGCGTCTGGGTTCAAAACCCTGACGGAGAATTTCACCGTAAGGGTGCAGAAAGCAGAGAATCGAGAGCTGAACGTGCCTCTGATCTCACCCTTCACTATCGCTTCCTCACGGCTTGATTCAGTGAGTAATGTTGCGATTCGGATTGAGCTTGGAGATGGGTGTGTCGGCTGGGGAGAAGCTCCGATTTTGCCGTCGGTTACGGCGGAGGATCAGATTACGGCAATGGTGAAAGCGCGGGAAGCTTGTGAGTTTCTGAGGGAGTTACCTGAGATGAAACTTGGTAGTGTTCTTCATGAGATCGGGAGGCTTCTCCCTGGTCATCGATTTGCCTCTGTAAGCTCAGACTTCGGTGTAATTTCGATTTTAAGCATTCTTGGTTTGCTAAAAAAGGCTTGATTTTTGAGCTTGAGCTTGAGAAGTTCAAGTTTGGGAATTTTGGATTTTACATTTGGCTTTGATCTTTCTCTCAAGGAAGAAAATAAGAAAGTTACTGAAATGGGTTTAGGTAAGAGCTGGGATGGAGATGGCTATGATTGATGCCGCAGCTAAGAGTGTAGGAGTGCCGTTGTGGAAACTATTTGGTGGAGCTTCGAGTACTATTACCACCGACATAACAGTTCGGTTCTAACCTTAGCTCTTGCTGGTACATTTCCTTTTTTACTGTCTGTGTGTTTGCAAGCAAATTCTCAAAGTTTCCAGCTATTAAGAACTGCTCTGAAACTAAAATTGATATTGAGTCTTGCTTAGATTCTGTGTGTGTTTTCACAGATGTGGGTCTAAAACATGTTTGTTTGTCTATGCTCAGATTCCGATAGTTTCTCCAGCCGAAGCTTCGATTTTGGCTCTGAAGTATAGAAAACAAGGTTTTGAAACCTTGAAGCTCAAGGTGGGGAAGAATCTTAAGGCTGACATAGAGGTTCTCCAGGCCATACGTGCAGTCCACCCTACTTGTTCCTTCATTTTGGATGCCAATGAGGGTTATAAAACAGAGGAAGCTGTTGAAGTTCTCGAGAAGCTTCATGGTAAAAAGGTTTATGAATCATTTGTGGATCTTCTCTTTTAGGTCTTGAACGCTAGATACTTTAAAAGGATTGGTTTTTGGAAAACTGTCAGCCTGTTCAAATCGTTAGCCGCCCTTTCTTTTCTCAGTCGAGACCTGAAATGTTGTCCTTGTTTTGCCCAGAGATGAAGGTTACACCGGTTCTCTTTGAACAACCCGTCCACAGAGACAATTGGGAAGGTCTCAGTCACGTGACTCGAACTGCAAAGAGCAGATTCGGAGTCTCTGTTGCAGCAGATGAGAGTTGCAGAGACTTGACTGATCTCAAGAAAATCATAGAAGGTGGTATCGTAGATGTTGTTAACATCAAACTCGCCAAAACCGGAATCCTCGAGGCCCTCGAAGTAATTGAATTAGCTATGTCATCTGGAATTGAGCTTATGATAGGGGGAATGGTTGAGACAAGACTAGCAATGGGGTTCTCTGGTCACCTTGCTGCAGGCATTGGGAGTTTCAGGTATATTTAATATATAAACACCACATTTCTTGCTAATGTGACCATCACCATCATAAAACTAACAAGTTAAGATATAATTTACAGATTCATCGACTTAGATACTCCACTTCTTCTGGCTGACGATCCTGTTCTAGGTGGCTACAAAGGTAATAGTCTCTGTTTTCTTCATCTTGCATCTTACCTGACTTGTAGCACATCGTCTTTGCGATTTTTTTATGTCGTCATTTTTTAAACATAAACGTAAACTAAGTCATCCTGTGAGAACACTTATCTCTAAAACCATCAATTGAAATTCAAAAGGAACAAAGTCTAATGCTGGTGGTTTGTTGGCAGCATCGGGTGCTGTCTACGAGTTTACAGATGAAGGCGGTCACGGAGGATATCTTCAATGGAATGATCTCGCTTAGTATATTTTTCCTTCAGAGTACTTAGGCCCGTTTTCTTTATTTCATAGTGTATGTCGATCTCAAGTTTATTGGTTCTTAGGTTTGATGCGGCACTTAGACCTTGGTCCTGAATTTTCAGTTTGTGTTAGAATAACTTGAATCTAATCTACAAGCTTTGTAACTCCCCCCCCCCCCCCAAGAGTATTAAATAAATGTTGGAGATTCATCACATTGACCTACTTCAGTTGTGTCTGAAACATAAACAGAAACCCAAAACACAGAACTTATAAATCACAACAAGCTGTATCTGTTCCGATTTCTCTCATTTTCTGACAAATTACACGGCAGAACATCAGATGTGGGAAAATGTTGAAATTTCTTCAATGGTTTTTGGGGAATTTTCACTAGCAGAATTAATAGTCTACAACAGTCTCTTATTAGATATTTTTTGGGGTGTATTTTAATTTTTAACTATATAAATATCATTAAAAAAAAGTCAAATACTAGACAGCAGTTGAAAATGAAAGAGCTAATTACAATTCACTAAAGAAAAAGTCAAAATAAATTTGCTTTTCATGTGGGAAAAAACTAGTGAAATTTGGTAGGTGTGTGTGGTGACTGTGGTCAGTGGTGGGCTGGTGGTGAGGCGTGAAAATCTTAATAGATTTTTGGTAAAGTTCCAATTAAATTAATTGGACTATCTATTTCGTTTTAATTATATCAAACACTAAAATTTTGCATTCTATCTACAAATCAAACACTAAATTTTGCTTTCTTCTAAAAGTCAGCAGAGAGATTAATACAATATTATGTTTCTGCTTAATGATATACTTTACACTTTATGTATGTAAATATCACTAGACATATTTTATACGATAGAAGTATAAAACATTTGTATAATATATGTTAGTATGTTTACCTATATATAAGATCAGAAGAGCAATAATAACAAACGGGAATGAAATACTCACTCACACTAGGCGTGAGCATCTTAAAGCTATCACGATCGATCAATGATGATGCTTTCGACCCACTTTCTCTTCTTATTACGATCTTTTCAATACTATTTTTTTAGCCTTAATTTGTTACTCTGCGAATATGAGATCTTATCATGCTTACTTCAAACGGCCTCAAAGTCGAAGACACATGTTTGTATGAGCTTCAACAACAACAACCAAACCATTGTGTTATGTGTAGTGAAGTGTGAACATGTATTTAAAGTGAGCTACGCACGTACACACCAAACATTCCATGTTCTCCTTTTAGTTTTATGTTTTTTCTTCTAGTGGTCTTGGGTTGTGACTTGTGATATGTGAATCTAATATCTCTAGTCTCTATCTAGTTACATATTACTTACATACATAATTAAATTCTTATTGTCATTCTTACGTATTATTACTACCAAACAAACCGAGGATACATGTGATTATTTGTTTGTAATTTGGCATTATAGTATAGTATTCATCCAAAAGCAAACCTCGTCGCACAAAACAAAAACATTGGTTAAGTTGTCGTATTCCAATAGTTTTGCAAAACGATTCATGAACAATCGTTTTACATTGGGATGCATCTACTCTTGCTCGTTGAGCTATGTATCTTTCTGCTTGTAGGTTTCCGCAAAATCTTGTAACCACAGAAAATATAAGAGCTAATTTATCTTTTTTTTTTTTTTTTTTTTTTGAAAACGAGCTAATTTATCTTTCAAGATAAATATTTTCACTAAGGAGAATCTGATATGTTACATTAAAATTACTATAATCGTGCCAAACAAAAAAAAAAAAAAGAAGAAAGAAGAATGTTCAATGAGTGATTGTGGCAATGATTATTCACACGTATCCCCAAATGCACGCTTCATCTCAAGATCATCATTAAAATATATATGAATACTATTTTGTAATTGATTTTATTGATTTATTTATATGTTGTTTTACTTTTAGGTGTTTTTTATACAATATTTACAAATGCACTTTCTCCATCATTTCGTACGTTGGGGACGTTAAAAGGAGACGGCAACGAATATTGGGACGACACAAGAACAAAAGAAGGTACCATCACCGAAAAGTCCTCTTCACCTCCTCTAATAAGTCTTCACTCTTCTACCCTACTGCCCTTTCTTATTATTATTATTATTATTTTTGTTAAATTCCTTTTTCTGTGAACCAAAATATACATATTCTTTTCATGGATGAATATATCGTATTCATTGTGCTTTTTTTATAATTGTTTTTTTATTTGTCGTGAATATTCAACTATTTATTTTTTTGGTCGACAAATAGAGAGAAGTTAGAGATAATATATGTACACATATTGAGTGTACGTTGGTTTATAAGTATTTGCTACTTTTCCACTCACAAGAATAAAATCTAGAGGGTGCAAAGAAAAGCACCAATACAATGAATAAAGACTTATAACGTTGACGAGAAGAGAAAGAAAAAAACACGAAAAACAAAATGAAAATATATAGGTGTTAAGAAATTAGTATCCCAATATTTGAATACTTTCCTACCATTTAACTATTTTTAATGTTCCTTAAGTCAAAGTCACGAGGGTTCTTATATATCCTCAGTAGTGTTTTATATTATTTCTCGATGCATTTCTTTTATAGTTATAAGCAATTTTCAAAATATATTATCAGCTCAACACAGCTATGATTCACTAATTGTATTTAAGCCGGTTTAGAATTTGGATGACATGATATCAACATTAAACTTGTTGCAACATCCACAGCACATATAATCACAACTGTTCGAATATGTAATTAGAAATTTAAATTAAGTTGCATCCATATATAGTCTGGTAGAAGTAACATAATCTAATATGCTCTTAGATACAAACGTGGTTCTCTCAATGCTACATTAAATTGAAAACAAAAATCGAAAAAAGAAACAATAAAATAAGAGGCCGCACCACCATAAGCAATTGCATAATACTGTATGTCGACAAAAAAAAAAAAAACAAAAAAAAAAGCAATTGCATAATAGTTTGAACAATATAAGAAAAAGCATTTCACTTTCCCACTCTATAAATAGTGGGAGGTTACACACACAAAAAAAGCCACAAACACACAAACACACACATTTTGTATAATAAACTGAAAAACAAACAAAAAGAAAGAAACATGGTGATGATGATGAAGGCCACATGGGTTTCTCTTTTCGCCCTCGCGGCTGTCCTCCTAGTGATCCTACTCCCCGCGGCTGAAGCCGTGACATGCTCTCCGATGCAACTAAGCCCATGTGCATCGGCGATAACGTCGTCTTCTCCTCCATCGGCCTTGTGCTGTAAAAAGCTCAAGGAGCAGAAGCCATGCCTATGTGGTTACATGAGAAACCCTAGCCTCCGTCGCTTCGTCAGCTCTCCCAACGCTCGTAAAGTTTCTAACCATTGCAGACTCCCCATCCCAAGGTGTTGAGTAATCAAAGATGTGTTTCCATGCTGCTTCTGGTCCTTCTATATATATTATATGTTTGAATTTTACTTTTTTTTTTGTGTGTGTTTAAGGATGTTGTTATTTACGATCACTAAAGTAGTAGAGAGTTAATGGTACTCTTGCGAATAACAATGTGTGGGTATGCATCTTATTTCAGTTTTTGCTATCTTATTCTAGTTCTTGTTTTTCATGATATATGATGGTGTAATAATTTAATAAATGAAAAACATATTTCATATCCACAAAAGAATCAATTATGGGTACATGAAAATCACTGTATATACAAAAGAGCACACCATCTTGTCTGGTCTGAGAGACACAAACTCCAACTAACTACTCATAAGAGAAAATCTACGATTTCTACTGGTTTCGCTGCACTTGCTTCTTTGTCAGATCGTCGTCGTGATCTATGCTTACTACTTTTCTCGCCATTTTTCTTTTTCGTCTTCTTCTCTTTTCCCGAGCTCTGCTCTTTGATTCCTGAATCAAGAATTTTCTCGTGGTTGTCTTTTTCTCTTTCCTTTCCCATCCCTTTCCCCATTAGAGCTGTCTGGATAGCTCGAGACAGAGGTTCATCATTACTACTAGCGTTTGGCTTCGTCTTTAAGTCATCATCTCCTTCGTCCAGTTTCACCACTACAGGTCTCGGTTTTGATTGGTTCATCTTCTTCTTGGGGTTAAATGAGTCCCCTGAAATCTCATTTGCTGGTGGGTATTCGTTCAGCGTGTTGTTGTTGCCATTGCTATCATTGTGCTCGTCTTTCTTCTGAGAGGAGAGATAGTACAGATCATGGCGTTTTCTGTGTTCTGCGAGTAAGGATGCAGATTCAGGTGGAGGAGATGAAGAAGATGAGGCTTCTTGTTGATCTCTGATACTAAGTTTGGTAACAGAGAAGCTGATTTTGTCTGAGGCAGAGAATGAGTTCGTATTTGAATTTGATTCAAATATTGGTTTGAGAAACTCTCCACAAATCTCTTGTAGATCCTCAAGATTCTCTTTGATCTCTAATCCATCCGGTAAGGGTACTTTTTCCTGTGCAGTTGAAGAAACAGGGCCAAGCTCGTCTGAGAAGACATCTTCCATGAATACTATGGCGCTAGAAACTGCTGTTTCGTTGTCTTGGCCGGTTACTTTCTCAGCAATTTCATGCTCTATCATACCAATAAATCCCAGAACGTTCTTAGCTCTCTCCTGCACTTCAACATCTAGGGTTCCAGATAACGAGCGTAACCCCAACTCAATCATATTCATCAGACTTGATATAGATTTGTATGTAAAACAATTCACAGCTGAGGAGCCAGAACTAGTAGACTCCTGAACCAAGGGCGGGGAAATGGGCTCCTGGGCCGTGAAGTACCCTCTGAGACTAAAGACAAGAATTTTGAAAGTGGAATGAATGTAGATTGCTCTAATTGAAGGAGGTAAGAGAGAAGTACGTGGCTGCAGAAGCGCCTCTGCAATTTCATAAGGGGTCTTAGAGAATTCAACATATTCCCCTGAAGCCCAAGCAGCAGCGGACAATATTGGGTGCATGAACTGATTACCAAGCAATGCAGGATCAATAAGCAGAGATCGAGAAACACGAACTAGCTCCAGTCTGACATCTTTGATCCTCGTACCAATATCAATCATCTGATGCCCAATTTCTTGACCTCTTTGACAATGTGGGATTCTAGCCATCTCACCTAGAAGAGACAAATACCAATCAAAGTCAACTACGATCTCATATGAGTTCCGGGAGCATGCCAGTAGAAGAGAAGTTATAACCTCGTTGCAGAACAAAGGATCAGACTTACGAGCATAATTCATAAGAATTCGAGAGATCTCAGACACATTCTCTTCATTCACCATTGCCATCAAAAGATGCAAAGCCTCAAGTTTAACATTTAGATCCTCGTCGCTCAGAGCCTTGACGACAGCTTCGTTGTTCTCCAAAACTGCCCATAAATGCTTTGGAGCAACAATCGACAAGGCATGAAGACCGAGATACTTGAGATTCGGATCATCGTCCACAAGAAAATCCCTAATTTTTGCAACTGCAAGTTTCAAAGCTGATTCCTGATCGCTCAAGCTACTCAGTACTGTTCTAATACACTCAAACAGCAAAGATTTTCCCACAGTCCTCCTCATATGTTCACAGATAGGATCAGCCACTTTCTTAGCCAACCTAGGCTCGATCAAAGCTAGCTTAGCAAATATTTTAAGAACCTTGATCAGAACCCAATTGTTCCTCGAATCTACCAGAATCTTGTAAAATTCAGGAGCTAAAGGAAGATAAGATCTTGGATCTTTTGTGGTGAGTTCACAGAACACTCCAACCACAGCTGACAGAATATGCGGATCAGAGCTGTCCAGATTCTCAACAAGACGCTTCAAACACACCTTAACAGCATCAGGATACTTATCGAAAACCCTCAAAACCACACCGATAGCTTTCTTCCTAACAAAAGCCTTACTACTACCCAAGAGCGTAAAAACCTCAGAAGTTAAATCCCTAGCTAGATCATCAGCTCCAATCCTAGACAAACATTCCAGAGCTAGACTCACCTCGTACTCGTTCGAACTATTCAAATCCTTCCGGAGCTGGTTTGTGATCAGAAGCAGAACCGGAGTCTGATCGCTGAATGACTGAGCAATGGCGTGGTAACCGATCCTCTTATCTCCAAAGCGAGACGAGGACACGACCTCGACGGCGTGGAACGCTGCCCAAGACATATCGACGCCGTGGAGTGCGGCGAGGTAGGAGAGTTTCTGTAGCGCGATGGATTTCGTGGAGAGGTCTGTCAATTTGATCTCGCTTCGGATTTCATCTACGGATTTAGAAATGAAAGAGGATTCTCCGAGTAGGTGGAGACGTATACCTTTGATCAGATCCTCGAGGCTTCGCTGGAACAAGCTGTCCATGAGAGAATTCGAAGACGCCATTGAAGAAAATGTGACGCACAACTAAGAGATGAAGCTATATATAATCGGCAAGCTGATACGATTCATGATCCGCATGGTTTCGCGGAGTGAAATCGGAGACTAGAGTCGAGGGTTTTTCATGCCGGTTAATCGTGATTTTCGGATTCTGATGAGTGTCGAACGGAACAGAGGAGGAGGAGGAAGGTGAAATATTGTTTGGGCTTTTACAAGAATACAATGGGCCTTAAGAATGATAAGTCCAATAAACATTCTCAGACAATGTTATTTTATATATAGAAACTTTATACTATGTATGTACACTGGTCATAAAAAGTATACTCGTAGCTCAAAGAAGAAGAAAAAAACAAGCATTGCTCTTTCTCTTTGAAATCAAATTTTAAGCCGTCCACAAATACAGTTTAGACTTGTTAATTAAATAGGACTATGAAATATCAGTAGGCTTGAACTTGGACTTGAAACAAAATAGAAAACGTAGCAGATAAATTTACACATTAGTCTAAACAATTATTTCAAAACGTGAAACCTCTAAAATATATAATCTTTTTTGGTAGGAACCTCTAAAGTATATATGAATGTAAATGTCCTAAACCAAAACGGCAATACCTCATCAAAACATAAAGGGGACACGATTCTAAGCTTATGACTATCACTTTCTATCTATATGCAGCTATATATAGTATAGTATATAGTATAATAATATAGTTTGACATTTGTCAGTAAACTTAAACATCAACCTTTGTTTTCTATTTGATATATCAAAAACTTAAAATATACGTATAAGATATAGTTCGACCTAACTAACACACACACCATGCTGGCTCTATCTATACATATATATCCTCAAACCTCCGAATATTTTTCCTAACAACCACCATCTTTTACACTTAAGAGTATATTCTTAAATTATCATATGCCCATTTTGTTTTTCTTCTCATGATTGAATCATAGTATGATTTTCTGAAGATTAATTAAGATAAACTTATGTATAGCTGAATAAAGAAAAAACAAACAAATCACAATTATTAATGAATATAATTAACGTAAAATGAGAGAGAGAATTGATGATGGACGCTCTCGCTTTCGTGGACCTATTAAGGTTTTGTCGTCTTCACAAGGCTATAAAAAAATAAAGTTGAAGTTGAAGTGCGGTTTGACAACAAAGCTTACAATCTTTTATTTCCTCATAAGAAAAGAGAGAGAGAGGGAGCTAACTGTTTACGCATCTAATTTATTTTGATAAGTAAGGAGGAAATATGTACTTACTAAATAAATAGTTGACATAATTCATACTATAGTAGCAGTAATATATAAAGAGCCAAAAAATTGTAATAAACATAGAGAGAATATTCTAGTTTCAAAATTGTATAGTTTAGTACGTAATCCGGTAATCGTAGTAGTTTCGAAACATAATTATTCCAATACGCTGAAAACATGGAATCTGCTTTTTTTTTTCAACGTTTTGTGTTTTTTTTTTTTTTTATAAGACGAACAGATTGGTACATTGAAACTATACATGGACGTTGGTAGTCTTATGAATTGGTAAGATGGTCAACTATTTACCATTTTGATAATTTTAATCCCTTAAATAACAAAAAGAAATATTTTGCAATTTAGTTGCATGGCGCAAAGTGAAATTAACTAGTAGTAATGTAAAGTCTTGGATTTGTGCAGACTAAATTTTCATTAAAGTATTTATAAATTAGGAAAAATTTGACTCCAATTAGTTATCGTTGTAAGCTTTCTGTTTTGATTTTTTAAATAGATTTTATAACTATATATGCACTCTATAACAATAATAATACAAAATATTGTGTATCATTCTAGTTATTTAATCGTTTTCTTATGATCAAATCTAAGGGTTTAAGTAAGCTAAGTCTTGGTGAACCAAATTTTTTATTTTATTTAAGCTAAGTTAAAAAGGGCAGTGAATTTATTTTATTTTATGTGGGTAGTGCATTAGTGGTAATGCGTTATGCACTCACTGATCTCCACACGAGATGAAATGTCTTATCTTTGTTAGTGCAATCTGAGTATTGAGAACTATTTTTCTTCCCAGTATGTTGTGTGTTTTGTTTTAAAGGGGAAGAAACAAACAAAGAGATATTTCAGAGGACACGACTTTGTATCTATCCAACTAGGAACACGACACTCATTGAATGATGAAGGTGTTGGTCGGGATTGAAATATGCTAAAGATGTACCAATCACATCATATTTGCACATAACCCGTAGTCTATATAAATCACGATACAAAATTATCAATAAATAACTTATTACCAGAAATCAAATCGGATGACTTTTTTTTTCTTTTGAGAACACATACATGTGACATGTCTAGTTTGTGATGTTTAAAATTTAGCGAATGTGGTAAAACAAAAATATTTGAGAAATATTTATGTAGGCGTGTAATCAATCCTAAGCTTCTTTCAAATACTTAGACACTCATATAAAAAAGATAATATTTATGTAGGCGTGTAATCAATCCTAAGCTTCTTTCAAATACTTAGACACTCATATAAAAAAGATAACAACATGTTTATATGATAGCATGCTACGTATAAATGATAGTAACATGTTAAGTACATAGAAATTAACAGTGAAATAAAGGGCAAAACCTGAATGTCTAATTCGAAAAGCTTTTGAGTTCATACGAAAACATCTAGTAAGAACTCGTTTTATTCATGAACATAAGTTCGTATAGGAGACATAGAGCTTTACTAGCTAATTTGTTTTAAGTGTGTCGAGCTAGATCTCAGATATTCTTTATATATATAATGTTAGTTATCACAACATCCGGTAAATTAAAACACTAAAACTAGTTTCGTAAGTAAAGTTATTTTTGGTTAAAGAAAACTTTCTTGATAATAAAATAAAAACGAAAAAGTGAAATATATGATACATTTCAGAGGACAGGACGAAAAAATAGACATTATCCTTTGACGAAAAAGAGAGAAAACGAAAAAGATGGAAAAAGGATAAATGAAAAGAAAATGATCAGTGATAGATCATAAAAGCCAACCCATAGCATTGTATACATACTTGCACGATTACAAGAAATTCCACATAATTCGGAACAAAAACCAGCTATATATTATTATAAAATAATCAATCAAAACTATATAAATGAATTCGTAATTATTATTTATAAGATATATACCTTCTAATCATTTAGACTAAGTTCAGACAACTAAATAAAATCATTTAGCCCTAGGATCATTATTAGGGGGTTCTAGTTGTAGATGCCTTTAATCGTTGCATTAATTGGACAAAACAGAAAACAAAAAAAAATCCCACCATCTATGATACAATAAGGTAATAGGAACCAAAACATATATATTACATTCAATATTTTTATATCATTATTTTCGTATTGCTATGCTTACTTATATATATATATATATATATATATATATTGATTTACCATTTTTATAATATTAAAAGAACTGGTAAGTATATATAGCTTTGTGTCATTATCATTTGTGATTATCCCTATCGATTACTATTGCGTAAAGGGTAACCGTAGAAAAAGAATACGTGGAAGAATGTTGAATTTGCTTACAAAAGTTGACCAGTCTCGTACGTGTTTCTTCATTCTTATAGTCAAGAATGGTGAATATATAAATTTAATATGGTATATAGTAAGGTTGTTGTGAAATCGGGGGAAAAGAATAATGAATAAAAACTTATTATATTGGTCCCCAAATAAATTGTTCTGATTTTGGGTTGAAGTACCAAAAAAAGGAAAAAAAAAGGGAATGTGTTGTGGAGAAGAGAGCACGAGTAATACTTGTTGCTACCCGATTGTCGCCACACTTCCCACACGTCCCCTCTTGTGTCTTCTTTCTTCTTTTACCTTTCACCACTTCCTCCTTTTGTGTGACTTCACCATTTTCTACTACTTGATACCACTAATCGTGTACCAAGCTAAGTATATATGGCACACAAAATTTAATAACTCAATCTAGTAAACCTTTAGAGCACATGCAAACGCAATTAAACAAGTCTAACAACAACCTCAATAATCGCGTTTTAGTTAAAAGCAAATTAGTTTAATCCAATAGTTAAACAAATCAGCTATCTGGCTCCTTTAGACCACGAATGGGTAATCTCATCATCTTTCCTCTCTGTCATTCCTCAATTATTTTAAACAAGTTTCGAATAAACACACGAATCTCTCTCTCTCTCTTTTTTATTTATACTTAAAAAATTTTAAATAATTTATAACAACTTCAAAACCAAACTCTTTTTTTCTTTCGTAAGTGCTCGCTAGCTCAATTAGCCAACCTCCTCAATACATATTAATAAACCCTAGTACGTATATAACAAAAAGCAATTATGTATACTAGTATTAGATTGCAATCTAATCAAAGCTTATTGATTTCCACGTAAGCACAACATAAATGACGTTTTTGCCCCCTACTCGTAAAAGTCTCTTTTTTCAAACGACGGAGAGAGAGCGAGAACCAGCGTCCCTGTCTCGCGGACCGTATGTGTTCATAGGTACGCTCGCACGTGTCGAGATGTAATCGGTCACGTGCCAACCTGGGTTGTTTGCATCAGCATCCGACGTGGCGATGTGAATGTCCACGTGCTACAAAACCTTTCTATAGCAGCAATTAGCAAACACCACCCACCCAATCCCCAAGCTAGCACCTTTATTTATTTCTTTTTTTCATTTTACAACAAGGTCGTACGTATATTATTATTATTATTACCAACAATAGTTTTTTTTTCGAAAATATACTTATATTTTTTTCCAGATAAACATTAATAAAACGGAAAAAATAAGAAAGCAAAAGCAAAATCGAAATCGATATATCAGACAAGGCCCTCGACCTTTCTTTTCTTTTTTTCCTCCCTTCTCATCGTCTCCGTTGAACAACACCACCACACATCACCAACACAGATAATTCCCATGGTGAAACGAGCTCAGATTTGATAATTCAAGGGTTCTTAGACACAGCACAAGGTAGCAGAAGAGCTGGTGGAGATTCTTCTTTACTGGAATTTGTTAAACGACCAATCACGGAGATTAAAAGCTTTTTGGGGGAAAATGGCGACGCCGTTGCCAGATTTTGAGGCTGCCAGAAGCGGCGGAGGAGTTGCGTCTTCTTCTAACCCGGTCCTTACGAGCTCTGTTTCTTCTTCTCGTCCGTCCCCTGTGGCG